TACTAACTCACTAAACCGTAATAACACCTTTGTAACTCAGGTAATGTGCGGAATCAACGTTATGAAAACGCGAGTTTTCATTGTTTTTCATTTTTCTGTTTGCAGCTGCAATAATTAAAAAATTCTCTACAAACCTGCAGGAAAAAAAATTCTCTTTAGGATGGTTCGGTATGATAAAAGATCCAAGTTATATTCCTCCTGCTTGGATCAAATTTGAGTCTCCTGTTCCACAAGTGCTATATGGCTTCTACGGGTTTAGCGCTTTCCTCTGATTGAAATGCAGTAGTGAACAGCATCTGTCTTCAATGGCTGATACATCATATGACACGGATGAAATGTTTCAAGTTAAAAGGTGTGCGAGTTTCCCCTTTCTCATAATATCATATTTATTTTTTCCCTATAAACTACCTTTTCCATAATTACAATCGCATCGCTGTGATATTAAACTAAACTGTGTGTGTGTGTGTGTGTGTGTGTGTGTGTGTGTGTGTACTCACCTATTTGTACTCACCTATTTGTGGTTGCAGTGAGGTCGATTCACAGCTCCCTGGCTCCCGCCTCTTTTCGCTGATTGCTTTCTAGGTTCCCTCTCTCCCTGCCCCCAATGAGCTCTATGATTGTGCCTTATATATGGTATGGTTCGGGCTCCACCCAATAACTTTCTTAAGGCCTATTCCGGTTGCGCCCTGATTACTATATATGACTGAAGAAATACTTCCTAACATCCTTTGATCATCTGAGTCTTCAACTTCCAATTGTGACCTCTTGTGTCTGTCCATCTCTGGAACATCCCGTCTTTGTCCACCTCGTCTATTCCGCGCAGTATTTTATATGTCGTTATCATGTCTCCCCTGACCCTCTGTGCCTCCAGTGTCGTCAGGCCGATTTCCCTCAACCTTTCTTCTAAGACAATCCCCGTAGCTCTGGGACTAGTCTTGTTGCAAACCTTTGCACTTTCTCTAATTTCTTGACGTGCTTGACTAGGTGTGGATTCCAAACTGGTGCTGCATACTCCAGTATGGGCCTGACGTAAATGGTGTACAGTCTTGAACGAATCCTTACTGAGGTATCGGAACGCTATCCGTAGGTTTGCCAGGCGCCGTATGCTGCAGCAGTTATCTGATTGATGTGCGCCTCAGGAGATATACTCGGTGTTATCTCACCCCTAGATCTTTTTCCTTGAGTGAGGTTTGCAGTCTTTGGCCATCTAAACTATATTGTGTCTGCGGTCTTCTTTGCCCTTCCCCAATCTTCATGACTTTGCATTTGGCAGGGTTAAACTCAAGGAACCAGTTGCTGGACCACGCTTCCAGCCTGTCCAGGTCTCTTTGTAGTCCTGCCTGATCCTCATCCGATTTGATTCTTCTCATTAACTTCACATCATCTGCAAACAAGGACACTTCTGAGTCTATCCCTTCCGTTATGTCGTTCACATATACCAAGAACAACACAGGTCCTAGGACTTACCCCTGTGGAACCCCGCTTGTCACAAGCTCCCACTCTGACACTTCGTCACGTACCATGACTCGTTGTTGCCTCCCTGTCAGGTATTCTCTGATCCATTGCAGTGCCTTTCCTGTTATGTGTGCCTGATCCTCTAGCTTTTGCAGTAACCTCTTGTGAGGAACTGTGTCGAAGGCCTTCTTGCAGTCCAAAAAAATACAGTCGATCCACCCCTCTCTCTCTTGTTTTACTTCTGTCACCTTGTCATAAAACTCTAGTAGGTTTGTGACACAGGATTTTCCTTCCCTGAAACCGTGCTGGTTGTCGATTATACACTTGTTTCTTTCCAGGTGCTCCACCACTCTCCTCCTGATGATCTTCTCCATGACCTTGCATACAATACACGTTAGTGATACAGGTCTGTAGTTTAGTGTCTCATGTCTGTCTCCCTTTTTAAAATTGGGACTACATTTGCCATCTTCCATACCTCAGGGAGTTGCCCAGTTTGAAATGATGTTGTGTTGAAGATCTTTGTTAATGGCACACACAGTATCTCTGCTCCCTCTTTAAGGACCCACGGAGAGATGTTGTCTGGTCCCACCGCCTTTGAGGTGTCAAGTTCGCATAGCAGCTTCTTCACTTCCTCCTTGGTTATATGTACCTCATCCAGCACTTGCTGGTATACCCCCCTGTTCTGATTTCCTGGAGTCCTACTGGTTTCCACTGTAAATACTTCTTTAAATCTCGTGTTGAGCTCCTGACATACCTCTCGGTCGTTTCTTTTGAATTCCCCATCACCCTTCCTCAGTCTGATTACCTGGTCCTTGACTGTTGTTTTCCTCCTGATGTGGCTGTACAACAGCTTTGGGTCAGTCTTGACTTTCAATGCTATGTCATTTTCATATTGTCGCTGAGCCTCCCTTCTTATCTGTGCATATTCGTTTCTGGCTCTTCGGCTAATCTCTTTATTTTCCTGAGTTCTCTGTCTTCTGTACCTTTTCCATTCTCTAGTACACCTAGTTTTTGCCTCCCTACACCTTTGGGTGAACCAAGGACTCGTTCTGTTCTTCCCATTATTTCTGTTTCCCTTGGGAACAAACCTCTCCTCTGCCTCCTTGCATTTTGTTGCCACATAGTTCATCATTTCTTGTACTGGTTTTCCTGTCAGTTCCCTCTCCCACTGAATGTTTTGAAGGAAGTTCCTCATGCCTGAGTAGTTCCCCCTTTTGTAGTTTGGTTTTTCCCACCCTATTCCTGCTACTCTCTCGACTTGGAGCTCAACTATGTAGTCGAAGCACAGAACCACATGATCACTAGCTCCCAGGGGCCTTTCATACAAGATATCCTCGATGTCCGAACTACTCAAGGTGAATACAAGGTCCAGTCTTGCTGGTTCATCTTCTCCTCTCTCTCTGGTAGTGTCTCTAACATGTTGATGCATGAGGTTTTCCAGTACCACATCCATCATCTTGGCTCTCCATGTTTCGGGACCCCATGGGGCTCCAGGTTTTCCCAGTCAATCTCCTTGTGATTGAAATCACCCATAACTAGTAACTTTGCTCCCCCCATGTGTGCTCTCCTGGCCACCTCGGCTAGTGTGTCGACCATTGCTCTGATGCTCTCATCGTATTCTTCTCTTGGCCTCCTGCAGTTCTGTGGTGGGTTGTACATTACTGCAATTATCACCTGATGTCCCTCAAACTGGATTGTTCCTACTAAGTAGTCCCTTTCACCCGTGCCATCCATTCCTTCCATTTTCTCAAAACCCCACTGGTTTTTAATGAGCAGTGCAACTCCTCCTCTCCCTCTCCTCCCTCTGTCTTTCATGAGGATTTGATATCCGGGTGGAAAGATTGAATCTGTTATTATTCTTGTGTGTGTGTGAGTGTGTGTGTGTGTGTGTGTGTGTGTGTGTGTGTGTGTGTGTGTGTGTGTTGTGTGTGTGTGTGTGTGTGTGTGTGTGGTGTGTGTGTTTGTGTGTGTGTATGTGTGTGTGTGTGTGTGTGTGTGTGTGTGTGTGGTGTGTGTGTGTGTGTGTGTGTGTGTGTGTGTGTGTGTGTGTGTGTGTGTATGTGACTCAACAATCAATATTTGCACCAATAACTCATTACAGTTGTGACCGGGTGTGAAAGTGTGAATTGCTCATTACACTGTAATTTGTTCATGATTGTTGCCATGTATAAACGTAAGTAACCATTCTTACAGAATTCATTACCTTTGTAACTTGTGAGCTCATTACCTTTGTACCTAGCTCAGCTATCAAAACTTTGGGGGCCCAGTCCCTGGATCCATTACGTTCCTCTGTAATCTGTAAATACCTTTGTAACTTGTCATGATTGTGACCAGACCTACCTGGAGTTCATTACCTTTGTAAATTGTGAGTTCATTACCTTTGTAAATTGTGAGTTCATTACCTCTGTAACTTGCTCAGCTATCAAAACTTTGGAGTCCAGTCCCTGGACCAATTATGTACCTCTGTAATCTTTTGATTACCGCCCACAGGATGGGTATGGGGTGCATAATAAACATATTAAACTAACTAAACTAACTGCTTTCGTGAGGTGAAGTCTTGAATCTTTCCTTAATTCATGATACAACTTAACAAACTGGTACCTGCCACAAAAAAAAGGTCAAATTGACTTATCTCCACTGGGGTCCTTTACTAATATTTGAAGTGGCAACATCTAAATGTTGTTGTATTTTATGAGAAGAAATGCTAAATATCAGTAACTTTATTAAGTAATTTGTATAAAAGCGCTATTAGAATCAATATATTTGATAGTGCTAAAGTACATTATTACAATATTGCATATTTTTATTATGTATAAAGGTTTAAGAATGTTAGTAAATAAATTTATTCAGGTATACACAAATACAGTTACATAGATTATCACACATAGGATAACCCAAAAAAGTGAGACAGTGACTTATTTCCATTGGGGTTTGTTACCTATAAAACGAGAGAGAGAGAGAGAGAGAGAGAGAGAGAGAGGAGAGAGAGAGAGAGAGAGAGAGAGAGAGAGAGAGAGAGAGGAGAGAGAGAGAGAGAGAGAGAGAGAGAGAGAGAGAGAGGAGAGAGAGAGAGAGAGAGAGAGAGAGACAGAGAGACAGAGAGAGAGAGAGAGAGAGAGACAGACAGACAGACAGACAGACAAAGAGACACACAAAAACAGGGAGACAGAGACAGAGAGAGACAGAGATAGGGAATGTGTGTGGGTTATCCTAGGTTCTCTACACATATACTGCTATGTATGATAATCTATGTAACTGTATTTGTGTATACCTGAATAAACTTACTCAGCTTAGAACAGTCTACCTTCTTCCTATTATTATTATCCGTTTTCTCTCAACAACTTCCTCATGTGGGTGGTAAACAACAAAGAATCTGACTGTTCAGACTTTGTATTCATCTTCGCATTGAAGCACAATTTACCTTCAAATTTCATTGCTAAAGCTTTCATCTTAAAACAACTAGCACACTATAAAGACCAAAAATAAAAGCAATAATTGCCCAAGGCTCAGATTCCAAATAAAACACAATAATTTAGCTGTGAGATGTGAGCAACCCATCCGAACACCAAACAAGAGCGATGTGTGTGGTCCGCTTCTCAGTCAAAAAGAAATCTTGAGTCATGTATTTGGGACTGCATTATTCTAAGCTTTTAGTATTGTAACCTCAAAGAAACTGAAGGTAGGACTACTGCAAAAAGCGATGTTTGTTTATTATTACATAGAAATGAATGAGATATTGTCAAATTGTTTGAGTTCACGAGAGTTAGGTGGGTCAGGAAGCAGATTGTGATGAAACTTGGAATTCCACTTTGTTCTTAGTAAGTAAGTAAGTTAATTTAGGTACAGGTACACATGAACAGTTATCCTACCTGGTAACATACGTGTAAATTACCTATGATAGCTGAAAAAAAGTCAAAGTGACTTATGTCCATTGTGGTCCTTGTAAAAAAAATTAACCTGTGCTGTCCACAGGTTATTTTATATAATTCTATTACTTTCTGTTCTTTTTAATAATAATAATAATAATAATAATAATAATAATAATAATAATAATAATAATATGTACTTTCTAGGTTGAATTTTCTCAAAACTTGTAGCTGTTGGAAATGTAAGGCATTTGACCTTTCTGTAGCTTTTTAAACTAGCAATGTGAGTGGTGTATTGACCTTTAGAACTTATTGTTTGATTATAGGTTATCCTAAGTTAATTTCTTGATAATGTATAACACAACCATAAAGTTTTTTAACTCATGTACAAAACCTAAATAAAAGCTTAAATATTTACATGGTATGTATCTGTGAATTTTAAATATCTTCAAACAAATGGCTCAGATATTAGTGTCAGTGTTTGAGGCATTTTATACAAATGAAAAGCAGGGGCCACGTGTACATTGAGAGACAACACAGTAAGTGTCAGGGGCCCAAGACTGTTCAGCTGTCTCCCAGCATATGTAAGGGGGATTACCAATAGACCCCTGGCTGTCTTTAAGAAGGCACTGGACAGGCACTTAAAGTCTGTCCCTGACCAACTGGGGTGTTGTTCGTATGTCAGCTTGTGTGCAGCCAGCAGTAACAGCCTGGTTGATCAGACCATGATCCACAATGAGGCCTGGTCTCAGACTGACCCACGGGGGCATTGACCCCCAAAACCCTCTCCAGGTAAACTCCAGGTAGTAAATATAAAAATGTTTAAGATGTTTTTAATGATTATTTGAGATACAAAGATATATTCCCCTCAAGGGAGGTTCCATGAAGCTGGTGAGGGGCTCTTGATCTAGGGAATTGGATCTGTGCTCCGGTTTCCTGAATTGAGCCTGAATGCTTTCCATCCCCTTCCCCCAGGCATTGTATAATCGCTATGGATTTAGCGCTCCCCCTTGATAATAATAATAACAATACTAACAAAGACATATGTTTAAGTTTATAGAGTTATTTAACTGTGGATGTTGTATGTAGTATCTGAAAATTCAGCAACTTAGAAAAAAAATAAATTTTAGAGTGAGAGATATGAGAGGAAGTGTAAAATAAACCCAGTGAGGAGCAGGGGTGCAGTGGGGACAATAAGGGAACACTGTATCAACATCCTTACCAGAAGATATCAGAAACACGGCTGGAACGAGTGTAGAAGCCCTCAAGAGGAAAATGGACAAGTACCTTCACCAAGTGCCAGATCAACCAGGCTGTGGTGGATATGTGGGGCAGCAGGCCTCCAGCAGTAACAGCCTGGTTGACCACACAAGCACCAGACAAGCCTGGCCCATGGCCAGGCTTGTCTGTATCTACTCTCTTGAAACTCTTCAAAGGTATATCAAAGGTAAAGGTAAATGTGGTTTCTGAAATGAAGAAGGTTTCCTCTTGATTTTTATCTTAATTAGGTCATAATTTTTATTTGGTTGTTTACAGTAATACTGTTTAATTATTTCCGTGCACATATCTTTTATGTATGATGTAAATGGTTGAGAAAACTGACAAGTTGAAGAATGAGACATTTGTGCAACATTTGGGAATCTTTATTGAGGAAATGTTTTGCTAGCCAGTGGCTTCTTCAGTCCAAATATAGGAAAGACTGATGGGTGATGGGAGGAGTTTGAGGTAATCAGTCCCTCAGTCTAAAGTTGATGTGTTCAGTCCATCAGTCTTGAGAAATGTACGTGTTATACAAGTGTCTCATTCTTCGTCTTTCATATATACATACTGTATATCTTATAGTTTGATTATATTGCTTTTACCTTTGTTTTTTATGTAGATTTATAAAGAATGCTAGCTAGCTTTTGGCCCCATATATGAATGTCTCTAGACAGGAACCTTTATTGTTGAATATCACATGAAGGTATTACATTCGTATAATTTTAGCATATGATTCTTTTTTAAATATATTTTCTTATTGCATTAATATTGACTTTAATATCCTGCATTTGGCACATTATATTCCACAGGACTATGGGTTTACCTGCATTAGTTATCCTTGTGAGTGCAGTGGCTGTACTGAGTGAGGATACGATAAATAAAATTGCAGCATTGTCTGATCCAACTTTGGTTATAGACATTCCACCAACGAATACTACAATAAGGGCCACAGCGGCAAGTATTATCTCTGCAAGTGCCATCACAACAAGCAACAATACAAGTGCCATCACAACAAGCAACAATACAAGTGCCATCACAACAAGCAACACTACAAGTGCCATCACCAATGACCCTACAAGTGCCATCACAAGTGACACCACAGCCGGTGCCACTACAACAGTTAGCACCACAAGTGCCATCAGCAGTATCTCTGCAACAAGTGTCAGTTCAGCAGATAGTTTCAAGAGAGCATGGGACAGAGTGGCTCCATCCTCATCTCCGATCAGAAGTGGTTCACAAAATGCCGTTAGTTTACCTGATGTCAGCCAGAGATTTCCAGGGGACCAATTTGCACTTCTGGAAGGTGGAAGCTTTACTGGCAGCTTTAATGAGAGCCAAATTGTAAGTTTAGTTCAATACTGTAATACAGTAAAAAAGTAATACATTACAGCATTATTTCTTGAAAATTATATTTAAACTGTCAGTAATCAGTCATAACACTATATTTCATGACAAATCTAAGTAGAATATTTCTTTAAAATTATGCTAAGTAAAAAGTTAGATTTTCAAATGCTTAATTTGTTACTTTTTACCCTAGCTTCATATTTTCTGAAGAAATGTAAATGGTGAGTGTTAATGCATAGTGGACCAGTCAGTATCATAATAAGACACCACAATCATGTTATGATCATTTACTATATTTCTTGATGCCATGATTCTTACTAGGAAATCTGATGAGCAGATACTGCTCTTGAGCAGTGTAAAATGTTAATTTGTTTGTTCCCAGTATAAACATCAACTAAGTAAGAAGGCCTCTACTGCAATTTCTTCAAGCACATTATAGATGGAATGAGTGATGGGTGGGTAGACTCTGTTTAAATTACATTTGTGGACTGTAAGCATTTGAGCTGTATATAAATTAAGTGAAAAATTGCTCAATATTTGAATTTCATTACTGCACCTTCAGGTTGATCAATGTCATCGAACTGCTCAGTGTGAAGCCTTAGAGGAAAGCACTTGCTTGGGAGTACAACTGCCATACATGCACACATCCTTGGCTCTCACCGGTTTACCAAATCAACGCATTGCTAGGGTAAGAGAAATGATATATTGTCACATTGGCTAAGAACTATTGTGAATATTTCTGACTTTAATTAATATTTTTATGCACAATTTTGTATTCAAAATTTCTAAAATATTTGTTCATTTCTCAGTAAAATTTGAGTTTCAATTAATTTTTTTTTATTATTACATTTCAAAGGATTTTTTTCTTCATCCAAGGTTTTCATTTATAACTTGAGAATTTTTTATCCAAACAGCTTAAAATTTTCAAGGCTAGTGTACTGTAACTATGGAAAGTGTCATGCAGCAATTGGCATATGCAAGTGCCCTCGGGGTCAAGTTTGCATAGACCTCACTTAATTTTGGTATACATGCAATAACTTGAAAGCTTATCAGCTTCAATTTTCAGCACTGGTGTATCCTAGTCAGAAGAAGGTTGGGATTGTTATTGTTCTGTGTAGGTGCCAGTTTGCCAGTTTTATTGAAGAAATTTGGAAAGTTGAAATAATGGATTTTGTGGGATAATTTGTGAATGCTTCTTCTGATTGACCTCAAACCTTCAGTATATGTAGATAACTTCTAACTTGAAGGTGCTGTTGTATTTTAGGATATAGGTGTGTGTGCTATAGCTAGAGAATGCCTCGTCTGATTGGCTTTCACCTTGCAAAGCCAGTGTATTTCACTAGTAGAAGATTCAAATTGGTTTTGGGTTGTATTAACCCCTTCAGGGTCCAAGGCCAAAATCTGAAGTGGTGCCCCAGTGTCCAAGAATTTAAAAAAAAAAATTGTTATTTTTCTTATGAAATGGTAGAGAATCTTTTTGTGAAGGTAATAAAACAAAAAGTATGAAATTTGATGGAAAATTGACGAAATTATGCTCTCGCGAATTTTGATGTGTCAGCGATATTTACGAATCGGCAATTTTGCCGACTTTGACTCCCATTTTAGGCCAATTACATTATTCCAGTCGACCAAAATCTTAGCTATTTCACTAGTATTACTTCCATTCTATCGATTGAGCACAAGAAATCCTCAAGTCAACTGTTTCAACTACAAAATAAAGTGATTGCAAATTGGTAATTTGGCCAATTTAACACTAAGTTCAAATTATTCCAATTTCAAAATAGGGTCGAGAATAAACAATGTAGGTATTCCTGGCACTAAACTAGCATTTCCTCTGTTCATTAGTTACATTTTGAGGCTTTACAAATATATTCCATTTTGATTTTTTATTCACATAATGAATTTTTATTCACACCAAAAAATAGAAGATATACTGTTATGCAATATTGTAATAATTGCATAAATATCATCACCACATTTGTGAATGTATATTAGACCCACCAGCTGGCGTGTATTAGACGTGTGAGGTCATTTGTTTACTCTTGAACATCGGCAAAAATTTAACATTTCTGCTACTTTGAACTCAGTTTCAAGCCATTTCCAGTGCTAAAACCAATCAAAATCATCTTTATTCCTGTAATATGTCTTCCATTCTATCAAGTGAGACCAAGAAATCGCAAATACAACTATAAAAAACATACGAAAAAACACTGCAAATTCGGTTTTAATAAAAAATCATGGTCTCAGTTTTTTTCCTCTCATTATACACAGTGTGCTGCAGGATTTGTTTTATGTGGTGCACACATACCACATAGATGTATTCTCTCATATCTAGGCCCAAATGTACCGCTCACAGTTTATCAGAGGGAGCTGAGCTCATGACGTAGATCTACGGTTTGGACCCTGAACATAAAGCCGTAGATCTACGGGACAGACCCTGAAAGGGTTAATGCCAATTTGTCTTTTTATTGAAGAAATTTGGATATTTGTTTCCATGCAAATAGCTTGTGAATGCCTCTTGATTGGCTTCACATCTTAAACATATAACCATGTGTAATTTTGATTATAGTAATCTGAATTTGTAATTTGACTTAGCTCATGTTGAAGTTTACAACTCATTACGTATAGGAAAAAGCAATAAAGAGAGCTGACATTAGAAGTCAGTGGTAGAAGCAACAAGTGTCTAGGATTGTGACTGTTTTAATGTACATGCTGTATACCTCTGCTCTGCTATAGTTTATGTTAAGAAAGAGTGTATATTCATGTACGACCCAGTTGACTTGGAAAAAGTGACCTCCTTTATTAATAGTTATACAATATACTATATAGGAAAATATCCCAAGTTTTATACAGTTCTATGACCATTTTGGAATTAATAGTGTCTTGATCTTAATAATTAATAATAATAATAATAATAATAATATAATAATAATAATCTTTATTTCTACAAGTGCATGATACAACTTTTACAGGCCTACCTGACATCAATGACATACTATATAGAAAACCCTGGTTATGCAGAGCATTTTGGGCAGCTTAGGTTAATTTTGTCCCCAGGATGAGCTCCCAGATGGCTAAAACCCAAGTACCTACTTACTGCTAGGTGAATAAGGACAGCAGGTGTCATAAGGAAATGCCCAATGTTTCCACCCATACTGGGGATCAAATCATGGACACTCACTGTATGAGCTGAGTTCACTAACAACTGAGCACATATTTGACTACCTACTCTCAGTAAGATTAATCATTGTATGTAAATTAATATTTCATCATTAATGGGTTTAGTAGTAAATATTGTTTATTAAATACTTATACATATTCTTAAATCTTTTATATTATTATTATCATCATAGGAACACTTAGAGTTGTGGTCATCACTGCGTAACATCCCTCGGTGTTGGGCTGTTGTACAGCCTTTACTATGTGCCATCTTTTTCCCACGCTGTGATAATAATTCACTGGAGTTACCTTCACAGGTGAGCTAAGTAATTTGGTATTGGTATGTATTGCCTGAGTGTGTAAGGTAATCTTTTTCTCAGCCATTGAGTTGGAAGTACAGTGAGTGCACTCTGAAGGAGGTACCATATGGCAATGTTACATTGGGTCATTTGAGTTGTTACAATGGGTCATTTGAGTTGTGATACCCATGTACTTGTGACAAGACACCTATTGAATGAATGATGATGGATGTGGTTTTTTTTTGGGGGGGGGGATCACTACTAAATGGAGGAGGAATGGATAACTGCAAGGAACCTCCAGTATAAAGGAGCATTAGTTACTTATTAGTAAATTAAAACAGTATACAGTAACAAGATACATCTGAAAAAAAAGTGCCTCAAAATGGTGATTAGAGGAAATTATATAGTAGTCATAGAAAGGAAATTTTTTTTTAGGTATATTTTATATGGTGGATGAATTTGGTAGGGTGTGCAAAAGAAGAAAATTAAAAGTGAATACAGGAAAGAGTAAGGTTATGAGGATAACAAAAAGATTAGGTGATGAAAGATTGGATATCAGATTGGAGGGAGAGTATGGAGGAGGTGAATGTATTCAGATATTTGGGAGTGGACGTGTCAGCAGATGGGTCTATGAAAGATGAGGTGAATCATAGAATTGATGAGGGGAAAAGGGTGAGTGGTGCACTTAGGAGCCTGTGGAGACAAAGAACTTTGTCCTTGGAGGCAAAGAGGGGAATGTATGAGAGTATAGTTTTACCAACGCTGTTATATGGGTGTGAAGCATGGGTGATGAATGTTGCAGCGAGGAGAAGGCTGGAGGCAGTGGAGATGTCATGTCTGAGGGCAATGTGTGGTGTGAATATAATGCAGAGAATTCGTAGTTTGGAAGTTAGGAGGAGGTGCGGGATTACCAAAACTGTTGTCCAGAGGGCTGAGGAAGGGTTGTTGAGGTGGTTCGGACATGTAGAGAGAATGGAGCGAAACAGAGTGACTTCAAGAATGTATCAGTCTGTAGTGGAAGGAAGGCGGGGTAGGGGTCGGCCTAGGAAAGGTTGGAGGGGGTAAAGGAGGTTTTGTGTGCGAGGGGCTTGGACTTCCAGCAGGCATGCGTGAGTGTGTTTGATAGGAGTGAATGGAGACAAATGGTTTTTAATACTTGACGTGCTGTTGGAGTGTGAGCAAAGTAACATTTATGAAGGGGTTCAGGGAAACCGGCAGGCCGGACTTGAGTCCTGGAGATGGGAAGTACAGTGCCTGTACTCTGAAGGAGGGGTGTTAATGTTGCAGTTTAAAAACTGTAGTGTAAAGCACCCTTCTGGCAAGACAGTGATGGAGTGAATGATGGTGAAAGTTTTTCTTTTTCGGGCCACCCTGCCTTGGTGGGAATCGGCCAGTGTGATAATAAAAAAAAATAATTATTCCATTATGATCAAATGCCATTCTAGTTTATTTAAGCTAGTTTATGTATTCTCTTATGCTGTACTGTACCAGTACTGTGTGATGTGTGTATCCTTTGCATGTGATCAGTATGTTCTTCAGAGTTGTCAAAATGCTTAACTGTTATTCATTGTCTACTGGTTGAGCTGTCAGTTTTGAATGTTGGTCTCAATCTCTAATGTTTCATGTATATAGTATTATCTTACAGCATGTTTGTAAACTAAAATAATTCATTTGCAGTTCACATTAATTTTTTATATGAGCCACATCTGACATTATATTTTTAGTTATACTATACAGTATTATGAATGTTTCTTCCTCATCTTTTCATGTGGTCTGTATGGACATATAATTGAATATGATTTTAACTATTAAATTTTAGAAAGGCCTCCTCAGAATTCACATCCATGTGTACAATGATTTCACTTCCATTTCTTTTTTTTTTTTTACATATTTATACGTACAAGTAATGAATAGGAGAATGCTAATTAGTATGATGTCCAATTAGTATGATGCTTCTGTTAATCATACCCATTTGTTTTTTAATGCTGTACAGGAAATGTGTGTCATTACTCGTGGTCCGTGCAGATTAGTGGAGCATGAGAGAGAGTGGCCAGATTTTCTGTTATGTCGTGAGGATTATCCTCATAAATGCAAGGTAAGTGTATGTATTGGTTAGATTTCAACTTAAATTTAAATTTTTTCTTGACATCATTGTTTTATATCTGAAAAAATTCTGAGTGGGACATATTTTTCAATGACATTATAAATAATAATATTCAGTGGGATAATATACATCTCAGTAATTTGCTAAAGTAATATTGTGATAAAAGAATTCTGTGGGACAAGCTAATTCTGGAATATTAAAGTGAGATCATATTAAAATATTTAAAATACAGTAAATGCATACGTAATTTTTTTTTTCCACATGACGCATAGCTTTTACAAAATTGTATAACATTTAATTAAACGTATGGATAGCCCGTGGTTATGCAGAGCATTTCATGAGATGCGCTAAGAATTATTAGGGCTGTTGCAATTAAATTTTGCCCTTAAGTGTTCCCAAAACAGCAAAATTAGATGAATTCAAGCAGACGTAAATGATTGTTACTAGCTTTTATTTGACTAGCATTGTATTAGAGAATTTTTTATTACCACAAAGCAGGTAGCCCCAAAGAAGAAACCCCCATTCACCATCATTCATTTAAGCATTGTCTTGCCAGATGTATGCTGACATCACAATTCAGATTACCCTCTGACTCCAATATTCTCACCTGTCCAGAGTTCAGGTATTGCCTTTTCCACATCCAGGACTCAGATCTTGCTAGCCAGATTCCCTGAATCTCTTCATACTTTGCTCACACCCCAAATGCATGTCCATTAAAACTACTGGCCTCCATTCACACCAATTTAACATACAAAAAGCCTTTGAAACTCAGAGCCTCTTTTACCCCATCCCTCCAATCATTTGTGGATTGATCCCAACCCCTTCCATCTTCCACCCTGGATTAACACACCCTCTTCATCATCCTATCCCTCTCCACCCTCTTGGCATGCCCAGCCCACCTCAATAACCCTTCCTCAGCCCGTGGTGATCCCACATAGCCTTCTACTTTTTACATTTTGAATTCTCTGCATGATATTTCCCATCTCGCATTATTTTCAAATGTGACATCTCCACTGCTTCTAACCTCCTTGTTGCTGTATTATTCAAAATCTATGCCTCACACTCATATAAAAGTGCTTGTACCACTGTATTCTGATACAATCCCTTATTTTGACTCCATAGACAAACTTCTTCGTGTCCACAGGTGCATCAGCTTACCTCCATATTTTTTTTTTTTTTTAACCCCCTCATCTATTCTGTGGTTTACCTTGTCTTTCATAGATCCATCCATCCAGTTGCCGACATGTCCACTTTCAAATACGTACTGCATATAAATACATGTACATCCATTTCCTCCATACCCATTCTCTTCAATCTGATATTCAATCTGTCATCGCCTAGACTTTTTTGTTACCCACATCACCTTGGTCTTTTCTATGTTTACTCTTAATTTCCTTCTTTTATATACCCTCCCAATTTTGTCCACCAATCTTTGTAACTTTTCTTCAGAATTCTCCAAAAGAATTATCATCAGTAGAGGGCAATGGTGATAATTCCCACTTCATATAAGATCCATCTTATATTCCAACACCTCTTCCAGGCAGCCTAGCATTCACAACTCCATCTATTAATATGTGAAAAAATCATGGTGACAACACGCATTCCTTGTAAAGACCTCCAGCTATGTCCCACCAAGGTAGGATGACATGAAGAAGAAGAAACACTTTCACCATCACTCACTCAATCACTATCTTGCCAGAGGCACATTGATACTACAGCTCAGATTCTCCTCTGAACTACAAATATCCCTGCCCCTCCTTCAGAGTGCAGGCATTGTACTTACCACCTCCAGGACTCAAGTCCAACCAACAGGTTTCACCAAATGCCTTCATAAATGTTACCTTGCTCACACTCCAACAGCATGTCAAGTCAGAAAAACCATTTGCCTCTACTCACTCCTATCTAACATGCTGACACACACTTGCTGGATATGCAAGCTCCTCTCATACAAAACTTTCACCCCCTCCCTCTAACTTTTCCTTTCCTTCCCCACAGCCCCTCCTCAGCCTGTTGGATAATACTTTTCGTAACCCCATATCTAATCTCCAAGCTACGAATATTCTGCATAATATTTACATCACACGTTGCCCTCAGACACGACATCTTGATTATATAAAAATTTTAATACTGTACAAATATTAGTGCCAACACATATAATTTCTAAATGAGAGTTGACTTGTAGGATGGCAAGATGCTTAAAAAATAGAAGCTATATCATTGTGTACAACAATTCCAGAACAGTGTGAGAGAACTGAAATTCAATACAACAGGGCAATGTGCACCTCCATTAGTAGCCACAGAGAAGGAGTCCTCATGGTATGAAGGAGTGAAGGGATGTGGAATTCAGTGTGCCAACCCAATTTTTACTGATGAGGAACATGAAGACCTTCATCATTTTGTGGCAGCACTAGGAGGTGTTTGTCTGGCATTTGCTTCTCTTACAGTGGTATGTTTCATGAGTGTTTCTCTAAATGAATGGATATCCAAGGTTTTAAAAAAATACCATTTATGAGAAATTATGAATTGCTCAGATGTACTGTAAAGAATAGTGGAAAGACCCATTCTGTGTAAGTGCTTATATAATGCTGTATTACATTGAGTTGTTAAAAGTGTTTTTACTTTTATGTAATTACAGTGAATCTTACAATTAAAGTGTCATCAACTATAATTTTTATGGGGAAGCACCCAGAGAATGGATGGTAGTCGAATTTGATTTAGGAATAAAACGGGTAGCTCAATTTCGATGGATTAAAAGCCTTTCATTGGTGTCATTAGTATTAGTATCAGTTACCAGTGTCAGTAGTATGTAACTCATACCAACCGTTACTGATTCACCGTCTGATCACTGACCATTACTGAGTCATTCTGCTGACCATAGCATGATGTTTGAGCGCCGCCACCCTCCGGGCACGATATAGCAGTTCAGAGCAGGGTATCAGAGACAACGGGTCAGGCTTGGCATTCCTCCTTTAGTACTCATAATTATACGTTAACAGCTGTCCGAAGTGTGTGATTTTGCCTAATTCCAGCATTCGAACCCCACTCGACAAATTGGTGGTCTGTATTCATGCGATCTGCGGATTCTGAGGAAGGATATGTACAAAGAAGAAAGTGCTTAACAGAAAAGGCAGACTTGGTGCACTCAAATCACACAACATTGGCATCAATGAGCCTTCCTTGAAGGGACGACAGTTGCTGGCTGTGATATAGGCAATTTTTTTATGTAGAGTTGCTATAAATATTTACAGCTGTTTTCATATTAATTTTGATGTACTAATAAATTTAAAGCTATTGGAGGAGATAAAAACAGAGGCTGAAAAGTAAGGTAAAGATAGATAATGAAGAATTTTAAAAGTGCTTTTTTGTTTTAGACCATGTTATGAAAGATTACTGAGTAGAGCTGCATTATGTATTGTATTTAATGAAAGAACAATGAGAGAGAAAGTGTTATTCTGGGTTAGTTAGTAGAATTTGTGTCTTGTTGCAGTAGTATGAAAATTAAAAAATTCGTAAGACCACTGATAACAGTTTGATAAAGGATGTCGTAGACAAAATAAATAAATAAAGTAACTGTAGTAATGAATATGTTATGTTATTATAGGAGAATTATGATGGACGTTAGAACAGGTATATGTTGATCACTTATTGACAAGTTTACTTGATAATTTAGTTAATAAAGCTCAATAATGACATTTTAATATAAATTTAATTACTAAAGCTCACTGATGACATTTTAATATAGAGTCTTCTTCATAATTTTTGAATTTCAAAGGCAGTTTAGGAGCTATAATTCTTTTGAAGAGCGTAGTGTTATTGTTTAATGAAAAGAGAAACATCAAGTGTCTCTGAGACTACCCAACAGCTAGTCAGAAACTAAAAAATTATAAAAGTCACAAACAGAAACTTAGAATGAGTATCACTGCAACACATCATGTGACTTCTTCAGCTGGATTACAGTATTCCAGCTGACAAGGTCATACAATGTGGCAAATTATACTAATTCTAAGTCTTTGTAAAAAATGGTTCTCCTATATATTTTCATTTTTTGTGTGGGAGATTATCAGTATAAAGACTCATAAAAATTAAGAGAATCTGTACCAAAGATTCTAGGGTTAAATACAGTAGTACCTCAGGACACGAACAGCTCAAAACTTGAACAGTTATGTAAGTGTATTTATGTAAGTGCTTTTGTAAGTGTATTTTTGGTGGTTTGAAATGGATTAATCTAATTTGCATTTTTCCTTATGGGAACAAATTCGTTTGGTATTGGCACTCGAACAGCCTTCTGGAACGAATTAAGTTCGTATCCCAAGGTACCACTGTACAGTGAAGGAAATTAATTAGGTTTAAGTATTGTACATGATTGTATAATAAAATGTATATATTGCAGTGCATATCTGGAGGGTTTGGAGGAAATAACCAATGAACCACTGTGTTAGATGGGAAGTACAGGATCAGTACAACCCTCATCATCTTTGTGCTTAAATCCCCATGGCATTTGTGCAAATATAACATGGTCCAACCTATCCCAGTCATATTCATGACTAAGCACACAGTGACAGAATTGATTAGGTTAGCTTTTACCATGCTATAGGTGCTTGATTGGTGGGAAATCAGGTATAGGATGTACATTAATTACCTGTTTAAAAATGCAGTTGGGAATGGGCTCCCATTCTTGGTCTGCAGCTCAGTTGGAACCAGTTAGTTCTCTATTTCTTGTTTTTTAAACCTGGTTGTAGTGCATTGCTTAGTATGTGAGTTTAAGTTTGTATTAAAAAATACTCTGGATTTAAATTTTTAATTTCCAGTCACTGGAAATCAGGAGTTTTGCTAAATATTAATCTGTATTTTTGTGTCATTTTGACCCATAGAGTTGGAGTGGCAAAGAATGTTGTGAGGAGGGCAATAAAATATTTTTAAGGAGCACATAGCAGCTTTGAGAAGTCACCTTACCACAAAATGTTACAAAATGCAACCACAGTGACTGTAATGTTTCTCAGTGTAAAGAATGGTTTAGCTTTTCATAGGAAATGTTTATAAAAGACTGCTTTAGCAACAGTCTATAAATATTTTAAATGATTTCTCAGCTGACCTACTTGATCGATTGGCGAGCAGCTAACAAGTATCCTGTGCTCATCATCTTCTACATCAATGGCTGTTTCCTCATTGCCAGCATTGGTTTCATTGTTCAGTTTCATCCTGGAGTTCGCCATGACCTCACCTGTCGCTCAGATGGAACTCTGCGTCAAGGTGAGCCAAGGTAAGACAATTCTGCTAATATTTACTGATACCTTGCACTGTTTGTGCTATTTGTTGATACATTCATAGCATTCATGCCAAATTGTTAACCTTCATCATAAAAACTAGATTGAATCATGATAACTTTTAGAAAAAAATCCTTGTGTTTTTGGAAACATAAGCAACACCTGCTTTCACTTAGTTCTCATTGAAAATATTGCTTAATGGATCTGAAAGTAGCAGTGATATTTCACTTAGACTTTACCATTAGGAAATATCACCTGCATGGTTTTCATGCCCAAGTGAGTTAAATAATAGATCTTGTTTCTTATTCATCAAGGTGAAAAGTCACTAGACCATTTTCATGACTACGTACATTTGTTTTGAGGTACTGTGCTGTTCTTAAATTACAAATGAGCTTAGAGTATTATATCTTAGTGTCTTTTTTTTTCTTTACACAGCTCTGGTGGGAATCTCTCATGTGTTGTGGTGTTTGTTTGTGTCTATTACTTCATGGTGGCTGCTGGACTATGGCTCATTATCCTGGCATACTCCCTGCACACCAGTTTCAAGTCATATGGTGAGGGCATCTCTCACATTAATAAAATTGCACCTAATTTTTATCAGATGCTTGTGTGAGCATGTTAGATAGGAGTGAGTGGAGACAAATGGTTTTTGGGACTTTATGAACTGTTGGAGTGTGAGCAGGGTAATATCTTGTGAAGGGATTCGAGGAAACCAGTTAGCCGGACTTGAATTCTGGAGCTGGGAAGTACAATGCCTGCACTCTAAAGGAAGGGTTTGGGATATTTACTGTTTAGAGTGATATCTGAGCTGTTGTATCTGTGTACAACTGCAAAGACAGTGATAGTGTGAATGATAGTACAGTGGACCCCCGGTTAACGAACTTTTTTCATTCCAGTAGTATGTTCAGGTGCCAGTACTGACCGAATTTTTTCCCATAAGGAATATTGTGAAGTAGATTAGTCCATTTCAGACCCCCAAACATACACGTACAAACGCACTTACATAAATACACTTACATAATTGGTCGCATTTGGAGGTGATCGTTAAGCGGGGGTCCACTGTATATTAAAAAAAAAAGTAAGATTTGTAGCATAAACAGTAGACTTATTTTTTTGTTAGAACTAATTGTTTTGCTGGGTTTTACTAGTGAGACAGTGGGGTTCATTTTTAGTTACATTTTTGTGTTAGTAAAAAAAGACTTGTGTTACTGAACCTGTTATGTATCAGTTAATTTATTTTGATGAAATAGAGGCATCAAATATGCATGGTAATTCTGCAGACTATTTTATGTGGTATTGAAAAGCAGCTTCTTTAATACACACGCTTCAGAATACTGTCATCTATATTTTACAGCAGCAGGGTTGTGTGGTGATGAATTGGAGCGGCGAGCAGCGTACTTTCATCTTCTCTCATGGTCCTTACCTCTTGTCCTGACAATTACCATTATGGCACTGGCAGAAGTTGAAGCTGACTCTGTGGCAGGAATTTGCTTTTTGTCTTCTGCTATTCACATAAGGATAGGATTTCTACTGCTACCATTAGCAACTATTGTTTTTGTTGCTGGATTTTTCTTTGTGCGTGGTAAGTAGGTCAATTTGTAACAATTTGTTTGGTGTTACAGTATATAATTTGTAGAGCATTCTTCAGAGGCTTGGTCAAGTTTTAAATATTAGGGCTGCATTATCATTTTTTTTTTCCACCCATCAGCCATCTCCCTCCAAGGTAGAGTCACCGAAAAGAGGAAGCAGGTTCGCCATCATTCATTCAACAGTTGCTTGCCAGAATTGCATTTATGTCACTATTCAAATGAACATCCAAATTTCAACATCCCCACTCCTGAGTGTAGGCACTGTGCTTATCCCCGGTAGAACTCTAAGCCTGGCTAACTGGTTTTTTCCTGTATCTCTTCATAAATATTACCTTGCTCACACTTCAACAGCCTATCCTAAAAATAACTTTTCTCCACTTACTCCAATCTTACACACTCACACATGCTTGCTGAATGCTCAACCCCTTTCACTTAAAACCTTCATAACCTCCTCCCAATATCTGAATGATCCCTACTCCTTTCTTCCATTCTGAATTTATACACCCTCTTTATCATCTTTTTCTGCTCCATCCTATCCAAATGACCATGTCACCTCAGCAACCCCTCCCTTGCCCTCTAAATTATACTTTTGATAACCCTACTATCTTATGATTTCTATGCTCTGAATTCTCTGCCTTATATTCATTTTTTTTTTTTCAACAAGTCGGCCGTCTCCCACCGAGGCAGGGTTCATACTATACATTAATCTTGTATATGACATCTCCACTGAAGTGTTGGTATCTCAACACTTCACCTACTTTCACCTAACTTTTCCAGACATATTTTCAATGTACTTTGAAAATAATAATAATAATAATAATATAATAATAATAATAATAATAATAATATAACATTTTTATTTCTACAAGTACATGTACAAGATGTACTGTCCTAGCTGACATCAATGACATACTACTATAAAGAAAGCCCTTGTTATGCAGAGGATTTCGGGTAAATTAGGTCAATTTTGTCCCAGGATAAGGCCCACACTAGTCGACTAACATCCAGGTACCCATTTTACCAATGGGTTAACATGGACAGCAGGTGCCTTGAGGAAATACGTCCTAATGTTTCCTGCTGTACCGGGGAATTGAGCCCCAGACCTCAGTATGTGAGCTGAGTGTGCTAGCGATTGAGCTAATCAAGTTTTTATTTAGGCTTTGCATAAATAATGTGGATAATTTTGCAGTGGTTTTGAAGCACATGTTATGAGCACATAAAAATTATAGTATGCAGATTTAACTTAGGATGAACCAATAAAATCATATAATGTGACTTACCTGTTATACATATGTGAAATTGATTGACTTTCTTTGATTCAGGGGAAACTGGTTACCATGACTCGAGTCCTGGAGGTGGAAAGCACAGTTCATGCCCTTTGAAAGACAGGTGGGGATGTTGCTGTTCAGATGGTTATTTGAACTGTGATATCTATGAACTTCTGGCAAGAAAGTTATTGAATGAATAATGGTGAATGTGTTGCCATTTTTTGGAAGTTACCCTGCATTGGTGGGAGGTTGCGAGTGTATTAAAAAATGAAACTATCATAGATGGCATGCTGTTGACAGTAGTGAAGAAAAAATATTTTGCAGAAATAAGGTTTTTAGTGAGAGAACATTTTGAACTCATACTTTGTTCTGCAAAGTTTGTCTTTTCTTCTCCATCTTATATGAACATTTAATTCAGTGTAAAGTAGATATCTGAGCCATGGGAAACAAATATAGTAGTAATATTATATAGTAGTAGAAAGTAATGAGTTTCTTGCCATTTACTGCATGTTTTAAATTGTTTAAGATGGCGAGCTCTTCAAGGAATTTCCACAACAGTTGGTTATGACAACAACAGTACCAGTATGATTGCAGATCCTCTTATGGTAATCTTCATTTTATTTATTTGCTTAATCCCTCATTCCTCTTATGTTGTAGGTATGATAAAGTTGATTTATCTCAAGATGGAATGTTTCAATATAATCAGTGATAGTGCCAACAGCAAGATAGTGGAGACCATCATCAGACTGGCTCTCATTACCATCACATTAGTGATCTACACAGGTATCACTATCTACTGTCACATCTACCAGTACAGGAACCAGCACCTCTGGGATAAAGCACTTCGTGACTATATTATGTAAGCTTGTTCCTCTTTGTTTGATGGTGCACCGTCTAACATATTTACAGGTTTTCCTTTTGCTTTTAGTATCACATTAGAATACACATAAAAATTATTCTCTTGATACCAAAGCAGTTAAAGTTTGAAAAAAGGTCATATATGATATTAAGGATGGTATATTACTGATTATTCTTTTGTAGCACATTTTCTTTACTATTCAAGTTGTGTGCATCATGCTTGAAAGAAAAATCATACATCTAAAAGTAAATCTTAAGATGTAGTTTTCTTAAGTCTTGATTAAATGAGTTAAAATGCATTAGTCATAATCAGATGTCATTAATTTTTCTCACATCTTCTGGAGAAGATAGAGTACATGTATACAAATCTTATTGAAATAACTTGTTTTCTGTTCTCCAGTAAATTTCTCTTCAATTTATGCCCCCCAAAACAAGTAAAAGTATGTCTTTAATATATTGATAAACTACTTGCTGTTATGTACACAGGTGTGTTTCTAATATGACTGCTGCTGCCCAGTTAAACAGTGGGTCATCAGTGTGCATGATAGCAGAACGTCCCAGCATCAATGTTTATAAACTGCACTTATTGGCTCTCTTTGGTGCTGGAATCATAATGTCATCGTGGTGCTGGACTCCAAACACACTTCAAGCATGGAAACGCTTCCTGAGAAGGTTACAGCCTGTCATATACAGTGTTTATGTTTAGTATATAATTAATGAATTTAATGACTCCTATGATGCACAGTTTCAGTGAAGCTCTTTAAAAGATTTTTTTCAAATATTTAATTACTTACAGTGGAACCTCAAAAATCGAACTGCTCCCAACTCAACCAATTATGTAAGTGTATTTTTGTAAGTGCTTTTATAAGTGTATTTTTGAGGGTCTTAAATGGACTAATCTAATTTACATTATTCCTGATGGGAATAAATTCGTTTGGTAGTGGCACTCGAACAGCCTTCTGGACCAAAGAAAGTTCGATTTTTGAGGTTCCACTGTATTATACTTTTCATTTATAAATACTATACTGTACAGTGTTTTTGATCTACCAAATCTAATTTTATCCCACACATCAAGAAAAATATGCCATTATTTATTTATTTTTCAGAGTTGCAGGTGTTCCTTCAGAAGAGCCTCTACGCCTAGCACGGCACAGAGTTATAGCTCAAGCCTTTGCTAAACGTCATGACCTTAATACTGCTGGTCGACTCTCCATAAGTCTTCACTCCATACATGATGATCCCCTTGGTATATATAATTATCTTTATGTCAGTGTTTCCATTATTTATCATCCAGTAACTTCTGTTTATCTTGCAAGTCTGTGACAAAGTTTATGCGGATACAGTGGACCCCCGGTTAACGATATTTTTTCACTCCAGAAGTATGTTCAGGTGCCAGTACTGACCGAATTTGTTCCCATAAGGAATATTGTGAAGTAGATTAGTCCATTTCAGACCCCCAAACATACACGTACAAACGCACTTACATAAATACACTTACATAATTGGTCGCATTCGGAGGTGATCGCTATGCGGGGGTCCACTGTATTTGATTGTGTTGTACATCTGTTACATTTTTACGAGGCTGGAATTTGGAAGGGTTTCTCACTAGATGTTCTGGTATACAAATGACACTTTTACTTTTGCAAGACATAAACAGCAAATAGAGATAGAAGTACTGACTGTATGTGTGATGAATCATCTTTGTAAAATTTTCTTTCAGGGTTAAATTTTGACATGAACAGTGCAGCCTCTGGGGATCTGTCATCCGCATGGGCCACTGCTATTCCATACCTCATGACAAGACGTGGAGCTCTTGTAGGTTCTGCTGCTCTGGGACTCAGAAGAAATTCTGTTGATTCAGAGTATAGTGTTAGTAGAAGGTGAGTTTTTAATCTGATCTAATCATTAATGTTCTCTAATCTGAGAGGCATTTGACTGGGTTCCCAAAAAGTTTTGATTTATAAATATACACTGGACTAATTTTTGTTGTAATTTGCAGTGTTATATAAAAAGTTATAATCTTGACTGCAATCTAAGAAGTAGAGTATTAATCTGTATGTACAGTATGTACTCTGAATGTACAGTAGTGCATATATAAACAAGTGGAGTATGAATTAAGAAATATGTTTAGTGCTTAAATTTAAGTATTAAAAGAATATGCTATAATTATTTTATTTAGTTTCTCTGTACTGGTATTTCTTTCTCATCCCAGATTTTCCATAGAATCTGGGTATAACAACCGTAGCTCTCGGCGTCATTCCTTGGATTCACAGATGTCATTTCATGTGTCAGATGCTGAGAGACTAGCAGCATTACACACAGCTGCTAGGTTTGGCCGTCGAAAAAGACGTGATTGGTTTAATTTGAAGCGAGGCCGACGTGTTAATGCTTGGGATAGAAGGGGTTCCAATACCTCTGATGATAGTAATCTTGGTTCAATGGTGGGTAATATTTGCATTTTTTTTGGTGCTTTGATGAACATTGCAAAATTTATTCTTTGTACTCTGTAATTATACACAGTAATATTAATGATCATGTTGGCAAGATGATTCTTAGGTGATAAATAATGACTTTAGCAAGTGTAGTAAAGTTGTAGGGATAGAGTGAAGGTGATACGTCAGAGGTTTTGGGGAGGGAGTGAGGTGACTGTGTGAGAGGTTCTGGGAATAGAGCAGAGGTGAAGTGTGGGAAGTGCTAGGGAAGGTGTGAAGATGACACCTGATGAATGATATATGCTTCACTTTGTCATTTAGAATGTGTGTAAAATTAGATTTGACTAATCAAAAATTTTCCAACAGATTCTACCTGCCATTACAATGAACAATCAAGATACATTATTTACGAATATGATGAAACGGCTGAATTTGAGTTCTGATGAAGCAACACGGTCTGAGAGAGCTGCACCCTCAGCCCCACCAGCCAAGTCCATGAATATTAATGTTCCACTCCCTGGTCAAACAACACTTGAGAGTGAAGATGATATAGGAGCAGAGAATCATGGGTATGCTGATAATGATTCCATTGCCCATACTGTTCTGAATAATGTTCTTAAGAGTGCTGATCTCAGAAGAAAAGAAGATGCTTATGTGAGGGCAGCAACAGCACTTGAGAATGGCTTGTTATCATCAAGTCAAGTGCGGGCTTGTAGTAGACGAGGGAATATTGATACTGGCATGCGTGTCACCAGCACCAGTGTGGGTATTCAGACATCTTTTGCCAGTGCTGTTACTAAAGCCAATATGGTAGATAAATCCATTCAGGTTTCAACACCACTACTAATGAGAGCCAGTCAAATAACTCGAGCTCATTCTCCGCTCAGTAGTGACTGCAGTCCTACCCATACATACAGGCATCAAGATAGCAAAAAGAAGATTAATGAAACGAGTTTCTCTAATCGAAGGAAGCCCCAGAATATTGACAGACCAGATACACCAGTTACTAAACTACAAAAAAAGCTTAATGTTAGTGGAGATAAAACAACAAACAGTAAAAATGTGGTCTCCAGTCATGGGTCACATAAACGTAATACCAGCAGTAAGACAGGAAATAGTGGCGGACGAAGGAAAAGTAGAGGAGAGAGTGCTGAAATTATGACTGTTTTAGACATTGGAGATGAAAGTGATTGAGTAATACTGTATATATATATATATAGATATATATATATTTAAAATGGAAAGTAAAAATAGTAATAAGATAGTATTTTTATACTCTTTTTAAATAGAATTCTCATAAAGATATTAAAATAACAAAATTTTATTTTTTTACATTTGTTTAATAACAATGATGTGCATGGGGATTACAATGTTTAGTGTAAAAACTTGTCTAGAAGGAAAATTAGGATGTCTCAGGTAAATATAATAGTCATTACAAAATGCACTTTTGTATCTGGGTCTGGCTGTGTGGCATAAATGCTGTGTACTTGATGCAGAATGTGCAGGTTCAGGTTCTGCTCAGAACTAAGATCTGATGTTTGTAAATAATTTTACTTGTTTGCAAATTGTTAAGCATTCTAAAAATCTCTTGCAAGGCCAATGTATGCACATGGCAGGACTAGATGTAATAACACAAGCCTGGTGCTTCAGGGTTTGGGAAACGATGTCAGGCTTTGGCTAGGTGCCCATATTTATTGGGGTTTGTCTCAGTAGCGTAAATACTGTGTACATTGATGCAGAGAGTGCAGGTTTAAGTACATTCTAGATTGAGGGAGAATGTTTATACATATATGTATGTTTTTTTTATGACACAGGTGTCTCCCACCAAGGCAGGGAGACCCGAAAAAGAAGAAACGTTTTCACCATCACTCACACTATCACTATCTTGCCAGAGGCATGCCAATACTCCAGTTTAGATGCTCCTCCAAACTGCAAATATCCCTACACCTTCAGAGTGCAGGCACTGTACTTCCTATCTTACTACTCACACTCCAACAGCTTGTCAAGTCATAAAAACAACTTGCCTCCACTCTTATGTAATGCACTCACACACACCTCTACTGGATGTCCAAGCCCCTCACATATGAAACCTCTTTTACCCACTCCCTTCAACAATTCTAGGTTGACCTCTACCCTGCCTTCCCTCCACTACAGATTTATACACTCTCCAAGTCGTCCTGTTTTGCACCATCCTCTCTTAATGTCCAGACCACCTCAACAACCCCTCTCCTTAGCTCTCTGGATTGCACCTTCTAGTCCTCAAACTACAAATTCTCTGCATAATATTCACACCATACATTGCCCTCAGACACAACATCTCTGCCTCCAGCCCCTTCCTCACTGAAACATTCACAACCCATGCTTTACACCCATGTAAGAGTGTTGGTACCACTTTACTCTCATATATTTCCCTTTTTTCCTCCATGGATAACATTCATGCCTTAATGCACCACCCACCTTTTCCCCTTCATTTAATTCCGTGATTCAACTCGTCTGTCATGGATCCATCTGCCCAAACACCCGATAAACATAAAAATAAAAGAGCACTGCAGTAATCCCTAGCTGAATCATTAGCTCATGCTAAACAGTTTCTACTCACACCCATTCATTATAATCAAAAAGAAGCACTAAGCCACAAGGGCTATACAGCGCTGCAGGGCAGGAAGGAAGCGAGGGCATCAGGTGGCAAAAGGGAGATGGATGAGTAATAGGTTACGGAGAACAGCGGGGCAGTGGAGGGTGAAAGGGTAAAGGGCAGCAAGAGACTGAGCTAGAAAGGGCTGAGGGGAGTGTGAAAGGTATCATCATCAGAGTTTGTGGAGTAAATCAGTCGTTGTCAAGAAGTCAATGAGAGAGTCAGGATTAAAGGAGGGTCCATCAGCAAGAAGGGAAGGTAAAGAGAGAGTAGTAGAGCGGAGACGACAACGTAGGTAAATTCTGCGTGCTCGTTGATAGAGAGGGCAGTCTAACAGAATGTGGCTAATCGATACGGGAACTTGACACTGCTCACAGAGAGGAACAGGGTGCCTCTCCATGAGATACCCATGAGTAAGACGAGTGTGGCCAATGTGAAGGCGGGAGAGAGTGGTCTCCCAACCTCGACACTGATGACAAGAAGACGGCCAGTAACCTATGCTCGGTTTAATAGAATGAAGTTTGTTACCAAGCAGAGTTGACCAACGTTGTTGCCAACGGGTGTGAAGGTGGGTAGCTATTACAGCAAAACCCCTCAAGGAAGGTTCCTTGATGTTGGTGAGGGGCTCTTGATTTAGGGAATTGGATCTGTGCTCCAGTTCCCCGAATTAAGCCGCCTGAATGCCTTCCACATCCCCCCCCCAGGCGCTGTATAATCCTCTGGGTTTAGCGCTTCCCCCCTTGATTATAATAATAATATTACAGCAAAATAGTCCAGAAATGGAACACCTCTATATGAAATTGGTAGGTCATGTACTGCTGACCGCACAGCAGTGTCTGCCTGTTCATTGCCCTGTACGTCGACATGACCAGGGACCCAACAAAAAACAATATCTTTATGCTTGGTAGAGATACGGCGTAGCCAAAGTTGAATACGGAGAACTAGGGGGTGAGATGTATCAAATTTTCGTATAGCCTGTAGAGCACTAAGGGAGTCTGAGACTACCACAAATGATGACACAGGCATAGATGCGATACGAATAAGTGCTGCAAGAATGGCATACATTTCAGCAGTAAAAATGCTAGCCGAAGATAGTAAATGCCCCCGCACGACACTGTCCGGAAACACTGCTGCGAATCCAACGCCGTCTGAAGACTTAGAGCCATCTGTGTACACAGAGATGGCATGAGAATGAGAGTGGAAGTGATCAAGAAAAAGAGAGCGGGAAGCCACCGTACGCAGTTGGGCTTTCGAGCAAGGGAGTGAGAAAGAACAGACCCGAACAGCTGGAACTTCCCAGGGGGGTAGGGAAAAGCGAGATGCTACATGAACATATAAAGGTGGTAACTGAAGGGAAGACAAGAGCGAATGTAGGCGAAGAGAAAAGGGACAGAGCAAACAGGGGCGGCGAACAAATAAAGAATGTCTACTAATATCAGTGACCATTCTATAAATGGAAGGATTGCGGAGATCGTGAGAGCGTACATAGTAGCGAAGGCAATGGGCATCATGGCGATCAGACAAGGATGGAACATTCGCTTCTGCATAGAGGCTCTCAACAGGGGAAGAGCGAAAAGCACCAAGGCATAAACGTTTTTCTCAACAAGTCGACCATCTCCCACCGAGGCAGGGTGACCCAAAAAGAAAGAAAATCCCCAAAAAGAAAATACTTTCATCATCATTCAACACTTTCACCTCACTCACACATAATCACTGTTTTTGCAGAGGTGCCCAGAATACAACAGTTCTTATCCACATATTATTGGTGTCACCATACCTTTCCAGTCATAAAAGTATAGGAGTACTGCAGTATTCCTTGTGGGTCATGCTCTGTAGGCTCTACACATTCAACTCTCTTGTTTGGTAGAGATTGGTAAAGAAGTGTAGATTCATTATTTACACTACTCTGTTCATTGTCATAGTAACCCATATATAGTACAAGTCAGTGAATAGTACCTGGGGGGGGGAGGATGGATGGCCATGGGGATAGGGTTAGAGAAAGGGCTTTTGACACCTCTTTAACCTCTCCATAACTGGGCTTGGCTTACTGTACTACCTGTCTCTTTAAACTTTTAGTGCTAAAATTTCTACCTCATAGGAAGCTTTCTCTAGGTATCTCTAGCAGTTTTCCCGACACCATAATAAACTGAACAATAATATCTGCATACATTATCCTATACAACAATAATTTACATTGCATATTAATACACTGAACAAATAAATTTTGTTTAGTCTTGAGGATGGGAGCAATGGCAGTCCAGCAACTCTGCAGTGATCCCCTTTTGTATTGTAAACTAACTGAAGGAAGAGAGCATTTTCTGTTGCATTCATGGTTCTGTTACGCATTTTACTATTTGTAGCATATTAAGTATATTTAACATGACATAAATGAACCTAACATAATTCAGCTTCACTTGGAGGGAGGATTAGAACTTATTGTAATAGTGCCGTACCAGGTTTTTCCCTGGAGCATTACTAGGTCTTCCTGGAGCCTAGCAAGGTTTTTTGGTGCCTGACCATTAAAAAGGATGGTTAATAAGTGTAGTTGTACCCTTCATGCACAAAAGAAATAGGGATTTAGTGTGCAGTAGGCCCTCAGTTTGTACATATTTTAACCTCTCAGATGTTTTACTCATGAACAGATTGCCTCTCCTCTCAACTTTTTTGCTTAAAAATTTGGTCTTAAAACGTTGACCTATACATTACTCAAGTATATACAGTGTGGAATTCTATCTGGGTACTCGTATATGCTATGCATATATTAATTCATATATGCTGTATGGTAGTTCTGTAAACACATTAAAATACAAATAATCTAGTCAGTAACACATGGCATTTATAGGATCATGGGCTCTATCCTCAGTACAAATAATTATCTTTCCTTACTTTTATGACCATTGTTTCATTGCCAGATAACCCCCTAATAAAATACAATTTTAGTAAATTGGTTCCCAGAACAACCTATAGCCCTAAAAATATAATTTTTGTGAATGAAATTGGTTTTCAGGAATCAGTGTTGTATATGGGCATTCTAACACTGCACAAAATTTGGGAAAGAACAGTTTGATTTGCATTGGCCTGACTGATGCCAGTTCTTGCAGAGCCAATTTTATCGTGAATTTGGGAGTTGCTTATACATTGTAAATTTAGGTAAAGTACAGTGACATCTTGATGTAATGGACCTCTATACAATGAATTTTGGATATAGCAGACAATTTTTGTGGCTGGATGGAGGCTTTGTGAATCCAGTTTATTTAGGTGTCCTGCACTGCACATCCATATCCTGTTCATTTTCCTTGTTCCCAGGTGAGCTGAGCCATACCCAGCCTCATGCAATTTGTTATTGTTTGAGTGCACATTCACATACTGTTGTCATTTGGTCTCCAATTTTTGTTGATTTATGGTGTTTTTGGTTACTTCATTATACAATAATATTACCTACTTTACTCTGTTGTATTATACTTTTACTTGTATTTTCAGGCAATGCACTGTACTGTATTAGTTTGTTTTTCTTATGTCCAATTGTGTCATTGATACATTTATCTGTGTCCAGAAGCACCATTGATGCAATTGACCATGTGGATTATTGGATTATTGTTGGATTATTATGTGGATTATTGTTTAAGCAGATACTCTTTCCATTCTATTAGTTTGTTATCCCAAGGTGTCACTGTACTTTAGGCATTAAAAGTGTAAAAGTTATCTCACCTGATGATTCCAGGTGTAAGGAGCAATTGCTGTTTTATGAAGAAAACTTGATCACTGGTATATTGCTGTACATATATGATTATTTATTGCTTTTATGCATTGGGGTAATAAGTGCCAAAGGGCTGAATAGGTATAGATATTGATTTGCTGTATGGGTAATTACTTATTTGTTATAACTGGAGTAAAGCCTTAGTGTGTACTCACCTAGTTGAGGTTGCGGAGGTCGAGTCCGATCTCCTGGCCCCGCCTCTTCACTGATCGCTACTAGGTCACTCTCCCTGAACTGTGAGCTTTATCATACCTCTGCTTAAAGCTATGTATGGATCCTGCCTCCACTACATCGCTTCCCAAACTATTCCACTTACTGACTACTCTGTGGCTGAAGAAATACTTCCTAACATCCCTGTGATTCATCTGTGTCTTCAACTTCCAACTGTCCCCTTGTTACTGTGTCCAATCTCTGGAACATCCTGTCTTTGTCCACCTTGTCAATTCCTCTCAGTATTTTGTATGTCGTTATCATGTCCCCCCTATCTCTCCTGTTCTCCAGTGTCGTCAGGTTGATTTCCCTTAACCTCTCCTCGTAGGACATACCTCTTAGCTCTGGGACTAGTCTTGTTGCAAACCTTTGCACTTTCTCTAGTTTCTTTATGTGCTTGGCTAGGTGTGGGTTCCAAACTGGTGCCGCATACTCCAATATGGGCCTAACGTACACGGTGTACAGGGTCCTGAACGATTCCTTATTAAGATGTCGGAATGCTGTTCTGAGGTTTGCTAGGCGCCCATATGCTGCAGCAGTTATTTGGTTGATGTGCGCTTCAGGAGATGTGCCTGGTGTTATACTCACCCTAAGATCTTTTTCCTTGAGTGAGGTTTGTAGTCTCTGGCCCCCTAGACTGTACTCCGTCTGCGGTCTTCTTTGCCCTTCCCCAATCTTCATGACTTTGCACTTGGTGGGATTGAACTCCAGGAGCCAATTGCGGGAAACCAAGTCTGCAGCCTGTCCAGATCCCTTGTGTATTCTGCCTGGTCTTCGATCGAGTGAATTCTTCTCATCAACTTCACGTCATCTGCAAACAGGGACACCTCAGAGTCTGTTCCTTCCGTCATGTCGTTCACAAAATACCAGAAACAGCACTGGTCCTAGGACTGACCCCTGTGGGACCCCGCTGGTCACAGGTGCCCACTCTGACACCTCGCCACGTACCATGACTCGCTGCTGTCTTCCTGACAAGTATTCCCTGATCCATTGTAGTGCCTTCCCTGTTATCCCTGCTTGGTCCTCCAGTTTTTGCACCAATCTCTTGTGTGGAACTGTGTCAAACGCCTTCTTGCAGTCCAAGAATATGCATTCCACCCCCCTCTCTCTCTTGTCTTACTGCTGTCACCATGTCATAGAACTCCAGTAGGTTTGTGACACAGGATTTCCCGTCCCTGAAACCATGTTGGCTGCTGTTGATGAGATCATTCCTTTCTAGGTGTTCCACCACTCTTCTCCTGAAAAATCTTCTCCATGATTTTGCATACTATACATGTCAGTGACACTGGTCTGTAGTTTAATGCTTCATGTCTGTCTCTTTTTTTAAAGATTGGGACTACATTTGCTGTCTTCCATGCCTCAGGCAATCTCCCTGTTTCGATAGATGTATTGAATATTGTTGTTAGGAGTACACATAGTGCCTCTGCTCCCTCTCTCAATACCCATGGGGAGATGTTATCTGGCCCCATTGCCTTTGAGGTATCTAGCTCACTCAGAAGCCTCTTCACTTCTTCCTTGGTTGTGTGCACTGTGTCCAGCACATGGTGGTGTGCCCCACCTCTCTGTCTTTCTGGAGCCCCTTCTGTCACCTCTGTGAACACTTCTTTGAATCTCTTGTTGAGTTCCTCACATACTTCACGGTCATTTCTTGTTGTCTCTCCTCCTTCCTTCCTTAGCCTGATTACCTGGTCCTTGACTGTTGTTTTCCTCCTGATGTGGCTGTTTCAACAGTTTCGGGTCAGATTTGGCTTTCGCTGCTATGTCATTTTCATATTGTCTTTGGGCCTCCCTTCTTATCTGTGCATATTCGTTTCTGGCTCTACGACTGCTCTCCTTATTCTCCTGGGTCCTTTGCCTTCTATATTTCTTCCATTCCCTAGCACACTTGGTTTTTGCCTCCCTGCACCTTTGGGTAAACCATGGGCTCATCCTGGCTTTTTCATTATTCCTGTTACCCTTGGGTACAAACCTCTCCTCAGCCTCCTTGCATTTTGTTGCTACATATTCCATCATCTCATTAACTGGCTTCCCTGCCAGTTCTCTGTCCCACTGAACCCCGTTCAGGAAGTTCCTCATTCCTGTGTAGTCCCCTTTTTTGTAGTTTGGCTTCATTCGTCCTGGCCTTCCTGCTTCTCCCTCCACTTGTAGCTCTACTGTGTATTCGAAGCTTAAAACCACATGGTCACTGGCCCCAAGGGGTCTTTCATATGTGATGTCCTCGATATCTGCACTACTCAAGGTGAATACTAAGTTCAGCCTTGCTGGTTCATCCTCTCCTCTCTCTCTTGTAGTGTCCCTTACGTGTTGGTACATGAAGTTTTCCAGTACCACCTCCATCATCTTAGCCCTCCATGTATCTTGGCCCCCATGCGGGTCCAAGTTCTCCCAATCGATCTCCTTGTGGTTAAAGTCACCCATGATCAGGAGCTTTGCCCTGCATGCATGAGCTCTTCTGGCCACTGTAGCCAATGTGTCAACCATCGCTCTATTGCTCTCGTCGTACTCTTGCCTTGGCCTCCTGCTGTTCTGTGGTGGGTTATACATCACTGCTATTACCACCTTGGGCCCTCCAGAGTGAAGTGTTCCCGCTATGTAATCACTTTCTTCTCCGCTGTCTCCTCTGTCCAGCTCATCAAAATTCCAGCGATTTTTGATCAGCAATGCCACTCCTCCACCCCCCCTGTTCCCTCTGTCTTTCCTCAGGATTTGGTATCCCGTTGGAGAGATGGCATCTGTTATCATACGTGTAAGCTTGGTTTCTGTGAGAGCTATGATGTCTGGTGATGCCTCTTTGACTCTTTCATGCCACTCCTCCCACTTATTTGTTATTCCATCAGCGTTTGTGTACCATACCTTCAGTTTCCTTTCCAACACTGTGGTTTGGGGGGCCTGTGAGGGTGGGAGACCTGGTAGCTCGGTGTTGGGTGGAGGCTGTGGGTATGGATTGTAGTGTGTGTTGGGATGGTGTGATAGGTTGTATGGTTCTGAGAATAGTTGTGTGTGTGCTTGCCCTTGCTGTTCTGTTCTGCTCTGACTGACCTCTGCTGGTTCCATCCTTGTCTCTTTTCCTAGCTCCTTTCGCTTTTTTGTCCTCCCCCTCAGCTGCTGTCGTTCTGATTGTGTTCTGTCTCTGTCTAGGAACACCCTCTTGTACTCTTCCGAGTATTTCAATCGTGGTTTCTCTTGGAGGATCCTGTTCCACACTGTTTCCGTCCTGAGAATCAGCTTGATTGGTCGGTTTCTCCCCTTTGAGTACCCCCCTATTCTCTGAAAATTTACAATCTCGTCCATCTCTTCACCTATTTCCATGATGATTTTCTCAATCTCCTTTCTTTCTTCCTGCTGCCTTTCAGTGTGTGTCCTTTCCTCTCTCTCTCCTGAAGCCCATGGATAAACACTGATTTTGCCCTTTCCTCCTCCCGTTGCCTCACCCTCTGTGACTCTGGATCCTGCCTGTATGTGTGTGTGTGTACTCACCTAGTTGTGGTTGTGGGGGTCAAGTCACAGCTGCTGGCCCCGCCTCTTCAACTGGCTGCTACTCAGTCACTCTTCCTGCTCTGTAAGCTCTATCATACCTCTTCTTAAAGCTGTGTATGGATCCTGCCTTCACTACATCACTACCCAGGCTATTCCACTTCCTGACAACTCTGTGACTGAAGAAATATTTCCTAACATCTCTTTGACTCATCTGGGTCTTCAACTTCCAATTGTAACCCCTTGTTTCTGTGGAAACTAGGTGTCACAATTGTCAAAATAGAGAAGATTGTCACAATAGACATGGTGGACAGAGACATCCTGTCTCTGTCCACCTTGTCTGTTCTATGCAGTATTTTGTATGTCGTTATCATGTCTCCCCTAACCCTCCTGTCCTCCAGTGTCGTCAGGCCGATATCCCTTAACCTTTCTTTGTAGGACATTTCCCTTAGCTCTGGAACTAACCTTGTCACAAACCTTTGCACTTTCTCTTAATTTCTTGATGTGCTTGATCAAGTGTGGGTTCCAAACAGGAGCTGCGTACTCCAGTATGGGCCTGACATACACGATGTACAGTGTCTTGAACTATTCCTTACTAAGGTATCGGAACGCTGTTCTCAGGTTTGCCAGGTGCCCACATGCTGCAGCAGTTATCTGGTTGATGTGTGCTTCTGGAGATGTGCTCGGTGTTATACTCACCCCAAGATCTTTCTCCTTGAGCGAGGTTTGCAGTCTTTGGCCACTGCATGCAAGCATATGTGAACGTACATACATAGTACTCACCTATTTGTGGTTGCAAGGGTTGATTTGCAGATCTGGCCCTGCCTCTTAACTTATGACTCATTAGATTCACTCCATCTTATCTTCATTGCCCCTATTGTACCTTCTGTTAAAACTGTGTATGGAGCCCCTGCCCTGCTGTTTTCTGTAACCTACTGATCATCCCTCTCCCCTCCTTCTGCTGCCCAATTCCCTTGCTTCCTTCCCTACCCTGCAGCTCTGTATAGCCCTTGTGGCTTAGCACTTCCTTTTTATTATAATAATAATGTGTATGGAGCCTGCATCCAGTACTTCCTTACCAAAATCATTCCATTTCCTGACCACTTTGAGACAGAAGAAGTACTTCTCAACATCCCTGTGGCTCATCTGTGACTTTAACTTCCAACAGTGTCCCCAAGTTCTTGTTCTTTGCACTCAGACAGCCTAACCTTGCCCACGTCATCAATTCCCTTGAACATTTTGTAGGTTATTGTGTTCCCTGGTTCTTTTGCCGATCAATATCCTTAGCTCAGGAACAAGCCTTCTTGCATACTTTTGCACTTTCCCCAGTTTCTTAACATGCTTTTTCATTTGCAGGGTCAATACTGGTACTGCATACTACAAGATAAGCCTAATGTATGTTCTATAAAGGGCCCAGAATGACTGTTGAAATATCTGAAGGCTACACTTAGATTTAGCAAACATTGGCTGCAGAGGTTATTCAGTTAGTGTGATCCTCTGGTGGTTTACTAGGTCTTTGAGTGAAATCCACTCCCTCACAATTTTTCATTTTTTCGCCTCCCTCATATCTAGTTGAACCAAGGACTCTTTGTTTCTGCATCTTCTTGGCATGCAGGTCTCCTCAGCTTCCCTGCATTTCTCAGCTAGGTACATTATCATCCCATCCACTGACTTACCTTCCAATTCACTGTCACAATCCACTACATTCAGGAAGTCTGTGGCCTCAAAATTTCCTCTTCTAGTCTTGCATTTTGTGCTCTCCACTTACTATATTTCTCTACCTTTAGTTCTGCTATGTACTCAGTATTCAGGACCATGTCATCACTAGCACCAAGAGGGCTCTTATTTTATTTCACCTATGTCAGTTGTACCTGTGGTAAACACTTCTCCAGTCTTGCTGGTTCCTAATCTCTTTCTCTTGTCATATCCTCAGTGTGCTGACTCAGAAAGTTTTCTCTAAACATCTCTATCAGCCAAGCCCTCCACATTTGTGGTTCCCCATGTGGGAACCAGTTCTTCCAATCTATTTGTCTCTGGTTGAAATCTCCTATCATAAGAAGCTTCACTTTAGCTCTAAATGCACTCCTGGCTGCTTCTGCTATGAAGTCAACCATCACTTGGTTGTTGTCCTCATATTCCTGCCTTGGTTTCCTGTTATTAGGTGGTGGGTTTTAGCGTATATCACTGCAGCAACTACTTTGAGTTCCTCGTCTTAACTGAGCACACTAGGATATCGTTCTCCTCTTGGCTGTTTATTCCTCTTTCCTTTTTTCAGAATTTCCTCGTTTCTAGTCTTTCCTTAACATTAGTATCCTATTAGAAATACAGCATTTAATTTCTGTAACTGTCTCAGCAATAGCTATTATGCTTGGTGGGACCTCAGCTGTTCTTTCAACTCTTGCATTCATGCATATACATTTACCCAGCTAAGTTTGTAATTATTGTGCCTATTTATGGTTATGTGAATAAAACTGCTCTTGGTGTTGTTTCTACGTCATTTCATTCGTCCTAATCATACGAGAATGCTATAATACATTAGTTGTTGTACGAACACCTTACTCCTACAGCTATACCGTTTGTCAAGTACGGAAATTGTTTTTTACTTCTTTTAGCACTTGTGAAAGTGTTAATTACCAGAGATTATATATCAGAATTTCCAGTAAGCATTAGGCTTAAAAAAATTTAGCTTGGAGTTGGCCTATCAAAATGTTCCATAATGTCTAAGGGTCATAATTGTAGTGATGTAAGGCTGTTCACCTTCTTTAGTTTCAATGTGAACATTAAGAATTTTGATGGAAACAAGTTCAAATTGATCTCATGGAGTGCCTCGTAAATGTAAATTTATATTTAACAATTTTTTTTTTAATTTTATAGGCTGATTACAAGTATTAACCGAACAAGTACATATATATAAATGTAGCAAAGAAAAGCAGTCAGGAATGGGAAGTCATCAGTGAAACAAAATTATTTTCCTATTATATAAACAATTTTAGGTGTGTTGTGATGAAATATACCTGTATCTAGGATCTGTAGTATATTTGCTTATCACTAATTTTTTCTACAATTAAATTTTGGATTTCCCATTTATATTCTTTTATTTTTCCTTATAACCATTAATAATATAATCAAACTAAGCACTAAACCTGAATGGGTAATACAGTGCTACAGGTGGAATGTGTTTAAGAAGGAATATGCAAAGGTAAGAGTGTGAAAAAGGTAGCATTAGCAACAGTAGTGAGGAGTGCTAAAGGTAAAATATAATCAAAGTTGATACAATAAGTTAATTTCCGATAAAAAGTTAAAAGAGGGAGTCTGTGTCAAAGGTGGGACTTTCAGAGAGATCAGTGTGTGTTAGATGATGAAGACATAGGAAGTAAACTCTTCATCACTGTAATGGGGAGCGCTAAACCCGTAGGATTATACAGGGCACCTCGTGGGAGGGGGGGGGATTATTCAGACTCAATTCAGGGAACCACAGCACAGATCCAATTCCCTTAATCAAGAGCCCTTCATCAGCATCAAGGACCTCCCTTGAGGGGAGTAAATTCTTCATGCCCGCTGACAGACAGGACAATATTAATATCACACAAGGCCTACTATTTTCTATGCTAATTCAGAATATACACCTAAAAATGTAAAATGAGAATTTTAGCATCACGCAATGCCTTAATTTAAAGGTAATTCCTAATGGAGGTAGCAAATATTTTCATTAGGACTATGCATTATGGAAAATAACAAACTCGTGAAAATTCCTAAAAATAAGTTACCAAAAATAACAAGAAATGACTAAAAATTATGAGAAATAACAAAGAATTTTGAAAAATAACCATAAATTTTGAAAAATAATTACCCCAAAAAATCACTCCATTTCAAGCACTTTTGATGCTATTTAAGATTATTATTATTATAATCAAAAAGAAGCGCTAAGCCACAAGGACTATACAGTGCTATTTAAGAACATGCATTTAAAAACATGAAAAAAAAAAAAAAAAAAAAAAAGTTTTAGCATGATACAAGGCTATTTTCTCTTGTCTGTTTCTTCCCTGTCTGAGGTGCTTTTTATGGCATATTTATCTTATAAAACTCTCAACCATAAACTGGGGTTTTACCACCAAATATCTTATCACAATCACTGGATCATGGAATTATTAGGAGATTTAAGTGTAACGACATGAAGTGATACAGAAACTGGGTGCAGCAATGGATGCTGACTCAAACCATGGAGTACCAGGCTTTTGGCATAAATTTAACATTGCAGATGCCATCAGCCAATGTCAAAAATGCCCCAGCCAGCATTAAATGCAGGCTGGGGGAAAATTATGGCCTAGAGTGGTCAATAGCTTTACATATTGACCACATTTTAAGGTATTTTTTATAATTTACAATTTTGGAGAGATCTGCTGCTGTGATAAAAATTAAAATGTGATTATTTATTAATTTGTAAAAAAAAATAAAAAAATAAAAAAGCCATGGCACAATGGAGATAAAATAATTTTTTCTATTTCAAATTCTTCCTACAAAGTTAACAACTGAAACAACAGGAGATATCAATACATTTATTTAACTTCATATTAGAGATATTGATGGATAAAACATAAGTTCCCAACCACAAAAGCATGTTAAGAAAGTATTTGTAACATTCACTACTTGATTAGCTTGTTCAATAAGATGTCAACATGTGGGCCCCAAGATGTAAACCTAAAAAAAAATTTGAAATATTATACCAATAAAAAAAAAAATCCCCAATACTTTACTCTAATCTTAGATGTACATAGGGAAGACATTATGCATAAGCTATGATGTCTATAACGAATATTAAACTAGACTGATCATTATCTCCTGCACTATTTATTGCACTGTAAATACCTTCACTATTTTTATTTTACCTTGGCCAATTATTTCTAATTATGAATTCTGGAAAAACTATGTATTAACTTCCTTGTACATACTGAAAACTTAAAACTCACTTGAAAACATACTATTCAATTACTTTCAAAGCTGCAAATTAAATTTAACAATGATTTCATTTCTTGTACTGTACTATGTATAAACTGTAATATATATGTATAGAAATAATAACTTGGAAGCTTGATAGTTTACTTCAGCAGACTGCATTTCTCTAAACTGACATTACTCTCAAAATAATTTAAACATTAAACTGACAAAATAATTTTCTTTATCCCATTCATAAACCACAAAATATTTACATATAATAGAATAATGAGCTGAAAAAAATCACTTAAAACCCTGGTACTATATGACCCCTATTTTTCATTTTCTTCATCTTCTTATTTAGTTTTGCTTCTTTTCGAATCTTAATATTCTTCTTCCTGGTATTCAGCTTTTCTGTTTTTTTCTTCTCGATGATTTCTTTGCGCTGTTCCCAAGTCTTTTGACTGGTTTTCTTGTTTGATTCTTTCTTCTTGATAGTCTTCTTAATCAAATCTACATCATTTCGTACCTGTTTTTACATGAATAACATGACCGTTAACATTATAGCAAATTTTGAAGATAATTATGACAATTAAATTATATGCACTGATTTTTTATTGGAGGAAAAAGGATATACAGTGGACCCCCGGTTAACGATATTTTTTCACTCCAAGGGGGTAGGAGAGTTTCAGTGGGGGGAAATAAATGGGATTAAATCTGGAGTATCTGAGAGAGTTAGAGCAAAGGAAGGGGTAGCAGTAATGTTAAATGATCAGTTATGGAAGGAGAAAAGAGAATATGAATGTGTAAATTCAAGAATTATGTGGATTAAAGTAAAGGTTGGATGCGAGAAGTGGGTCATAATAAGCGTGTATGCACCTGGAGAAGAGAGGAATGCAGAGGAGAGAGAGAGATTTTGGGAGATGTTTAAGTGAATGTATAGGAGCCTTTGAACCAAGTGAGAGAGTAATTGTGGTAGGGGACTTGAATGCTAAAGTAGGAGAAACTTTTAGAGAGGGTGTGGTAGGTAAGTTTGGGGTGCCAGGTGTAAATGATAATGGGAGCCCTTTGATTGAACTTTGTATAGAAAGGGGTTTAGTTATAGGTATACATATTTTAAGAAAAAGAGGATAAATAAGTATACACGATATGATGTAGGGCGAAATGACAGTAGTTTGTTGGATTATGTATTGGTAGATAAAAGACTGTTGAGTAGACTTCAGGATGTACATGTTTATAGAGGGGCCACAGATATATCAGATCACTTTCTAGTTGTAGCTACACTGAGAGTAAAAGGTAGATGGGATACAAGGAGAATAGAAGCATCAGGGAAGAGAGAGGTGAAGGTTTATAAACTAAAAGAGGAGGCAGTTAGGGTAAGATATAAACAGCTATTGGAGGATAGATGGGCTAATGAGAGCATAGGCAATGGGGTCGAAGAGGTATGGGGTAGGTTTAAAAATGTAGTGTTAGAGTGTTCAGCAGAAGTTTGTGGTTACAGGAAAGTGGGTGCGGGAGGGAAGAGGAGCGATTGGTGGAATGATGATGTAAAGAGAGTAGTAAGGGAGAAAAAGTTAGCATATGAGAAGTTTTTACAAAGTAGAAGTGATGCACGGAGGGAAGAGTATATGGAGAAAAAGAGAGAGGTTAAGAGAGTGGTGAAGCAATGTAAAAAGAGAGCAAATGAGAGAGTGGGTGAGATGTTATCAACAAATTTTGTTGAAAATAAGAAAAAGTTTTGGAGTGAGATTAACAAGTTAAGAAAGCCTAGAGAACAAATGGATTTGTCAGTTAAAAATAGGAGAGGAGAGTTATTAAATGGAGAGTTAGAGGTATTGGGAAGATGGAAGGAATATTTTGAGGAATTGTTAAATGTTGATGAAGATAGGGAAGCTGTGATTTCGTGTATAGGGCAAGGGGAATAACATCTTGTAGGAGTGAGGAAGAGCCAGTTGTGAGTGTGGGGGAAGTTCGTGAGGCAGTAGGTAAATGAAAGGGGGTAAGGCAGCCCGGGGTTGATGGGATAAAGATAGAAATGTTAAAAGCAGGTGGGGATATAGTTTTGGAGTGGTTGGTGCAATTGTTTAATAAATGTATGGAAGAGGGTAAGGTACCTAGGATTGGCAGAGAGCATGCATAGTTCCTTTGTATAAAGGCAAAGGGGATAAAAGAGAGTGCAAAAATTATAGGGGGATAAGTCTGTTGAGTGTACCTGGTAAAGTGTATGGTAGAGTTATAATTGAAAGAATTAAGAGTAAGACGGAGAATAGGATAGCAGATGAACAAGGAGGCTTTAGGAAAGGTAGGGGGTGTGTGGACCAGGTGTTTCCCAGTGAAACATATAAGTGAACAGTATTTAGATAAGGCTAAAGAGGTCTTTGTGGCATTTATGGATTTGGAAAAGGCGTATGACAGGGTGGATAGGGGGCAATGTGGCAGATGTTGCAAGTGTATGGTGTAGGAGGTAGGTTACTGAAAGCAGTTGAAGATTTTTTTACGAGGATAGTGAGGCTCAAGTTAGAGTATGTAGGAAAGGGGGAAAAATTTTTTCCCAGTAAAAGTAGGCCTTAGACAAGGATGTGTGATGTCACCGTGGTTGTTTAATATATTTATAGATGGGGTTGTAAGAGAAGTAAATGCGAGGGTCTTGGCAAGAGGCGTGGAGTTAAAAGATAAAGAATACACACACAAAGTGGGAGTTGTCACAGTGCTCTTTGCTGATGACACTGTTTCTCTTGGGAGATTCTGAAGAGAAGTTGCAGAGATTGGTGGATGAATTTGGTAGGGTGTGCAAAAGAAGAAAATTAAAGGTGAATACAGGAAAGAGTAAGGTTATGAGGATAACAAAAGATTAGGTGATGAAAGATTGAATATCAGATTGGAGGGAGAGAGTATGGAGGAGGTGAACGTATTCAGATATTTGGGAGTGGACGTGTCAGCGGATGGGTCTATGAAAGATGAGGTGAATCATAGAATTGATGAGGGAAAAAGAGTGAGTGGTGCACTTAGGAGTCTGTGGAGACAAAGAACTTTGTCCTTGGAGGCAAAGAGGGGAATGTATGAGAGTATAGTTTTACCAACGCTCTTATATGGGTGTGAAGCGTGGGTGAATGATGTTGCAGCGAGGAGAAGGGCTGGAGGCAGTGGAGATTGTCATGTTTCTGAGGGCAATGTGTGGTGTGAATATAATGCAGAGAATTCGTAGTTTGGAAGTTAGGAGGAGGTGCGGATTACCAAAAACTGTTGTCCAGAGGGCTGAGGAAGGGTTGTTGAGGTGGTTCGGACATGTAGAGAGAATGGAGCGAAACAGAATGACTTCAGAGTGTATCAGTCTGTAGTGGAAGGAAGGCGGGGTAGGGTCGGCCTAGGAAGGGTTGGAGGGGGGGTAAAGGAGGTTTTGTGTGCGAGGGGCTTGACTTCCAGCAGGCATGCTTGAGCGTGTTTGATAGGAGTGAATGGAGACAAATGGTTTTTAATACTTGACGTGCTGTTGGAGTGTGAGCAAAGTAACATTTATGAAGGGATTCAGGGAAACCGGCAGGCCGGACTTGAGTCCTGGAGATGGGAAGTACAGTGCCTGCACTCTGAAGGAGGGGTGTTAATGTTGCAGTTTAAAAACTGTAGTGTAAAGCACCCTTCTGGCAAGACAGTGATGGAGTGAATGATGGTGAAAGTTTTTCTTTTTCGGGCCACCCTGCCTTGGTGGGAATCGGCCGGTGTGATAATAAAAAAAAAAAAAAAAAAAAAAAAGTATGTTCAGGTGCCAGTAGACCGAATTTGTTCCCATAAGGAATATTGTGAAGTAGATTAGTCCATTTCAGACCCCCAAACATACACGTGCAAACGCACTTACATAAATACACTTACATAATTGGTCGCATTCGGAGGTGATCGTTATGCGGGGGTCCACTGTACAGTACTATATATAGGCATTGTTAAGGCTTCAACAGTTCTGTATGGGACATGTATTGACAGAGTATAGTGTATGATTATTCACATGACTTAATTGTGCACACAAGATTAAAACTGCATATAGAAAATTAACAAAGATATAATTCAACCTGAAAATGGGACTGGTTCTTAAAAATAAAAACTAACACTTACTTTTACTCCTTCTGCTTTCTGCAAGGCACTTGACCATGCACTCTGTTCAATCACTTCTGAAGCCTTTTTTGTATGACCTTTCTGCTCCATCCGTTTTATCTGCAACATATACCACATTAGTAATTAGCAATATATCTCAAATTTTTGTAGGCTATAACAACAAACTTGTCTATAAATTTCAACTTGCTATGATATTCTAGTCATATATAATAAATTTTTTAAATTTTCTCATAAAAAAAAATTTGAACACACAAGTATAAGCCTACTGATTGCTTTGTCACAGTCACAAATGTTGCCTCTGAGTATTTTAAACTAATTGCTATACTACATAAGGCATTGTGCAGCAAAAAAAAAAAAGAATAATTTCCACCACAGCCAAAGCTAGGGTAGTGAACAAATCGATTCCTCATTATTTTGTCTATTTGTAGAATGCATAGATACTGTCTTCTGCATCTGTAAGCTAGGTTCAGAGCCCCACAAGAAAGTATGGTAACTTGTGCTTTAAAGCTCCAATCTCACCTATAATTTTTGAATTTGGCACTTATTCTTTTTCTCATATGCAATGAATTATAAACATAGCAACTTGAGGTGTTTTTTTAGGATGGGTTATATGGATTAATTGGTTGTTTCTTGGTATCAATTGAAAGAATGGAAGACATACTATTGAAATAGCGATGATTTTGGTTGGTTTCAAGTAGCTTGAAATCAGCCTCAAAGTAGCAGAAATATTAGATTTCTCTCAATTTTCCTGAGGATGGGTCTGGCCTCTCTACGCTCTCCCAGTCTGTTTAATGGGTTTTTACTAGGTTTGATTTCATTATTGGGATGCCATCAACCATGACCAATCATTCCAGGTTATATTTTATTATCCAAGAGATAGGGTAAATCTTGAACTTTTTGTGATAAATCAAAATGGAAGGCAAGTGTACTACAGGAGAGACCTGGGGACATGATCAATAAACAGAGGAAATGTTGTTCTAGTGCCTGGAATGTATACAGTGTTTATTCTGAACTGTTTTTAAATTAGAATTTCCCTAAAATTGGCCAAATTATTGACTTGTGTCCACTCAACAGGGTAATTCTGCCATTTGAATGGTCAATATCGCATGTTCAATCGATGGAATAGAAGGCATACTACAGAAGTAGCTAAGAATTTGGTCGAATTAAGCAATGGAATTGGCTTAAAGTAGGACTCAAAATTAGTGAAACTGCCAATGCATAAATTGTTCACAGACTGCTAACTTTGCACCATCGAATTTTTTATTCTTGGTGTCATTACCTTCAGAAAGATTCTCTACCATAAAAAAAATTGTCTGGATGACAATGAAAGGGTTAATGAATCTAGGGATCACTGTCCCTGAGGCTAGGTCTTAGACCAGGCCTTCTTACCTAGAAAGGAAATACAACAGGAATAAAAAGTGCTGAGGTAATGATGCCACTTTTTGCACCATCACATGTGGATGACTCATTTTCTTTTACAAACCTTTTCTTTCTCTTTGAGAGCCTTTGAAAGTAACTGCTTTAGGTCTGTGGGTTTTAAGCTAGTGTCAATTTCCCCTGATGTTGAGGTGTTTGAGAAGTCAAATTTACTGAACACTAGCTTTCCTTCCTGATTGTAGATTGTATGTTTTTGTGACTTTGTACCTGTAAGATAAAGATTATTGCAAGTATTACATGGTGAACAGAATACGTAAACTTTAATACAAATGACACTTTTTACAAATTTGTAGTAATAATTAAATCAATGTGTATGATGTACACTATCCAAAACCTTGAATAAACAAAGAATGACTGATCTTCCTGGCAGATTATTTTCATTATGAGCACTTACATCTAATAGTCATGATCTTGATATAATATGGTTTGAAACCAAAAATTAATATGAATAAAGCTGGTTTACATATCACCCAGTGCCTATATTTTCATTTACATACAAAAACATGACTGAAAAAAAAAAAAGGTAAGCAGCACAATAATCACAACCTCTGAAATAAAACTTTCCATACAATACCTTGATCCATATAAAAATCATTAAAACTTTATAAATATTCACTATTATCTGCACTAACATTCTCAAACATTGTCATAAGTTTCTTCCTTCTATGTGTGGGTTATTTGCGTATTGCTCAAGTCATGATAATGTACCCTTTTACTCTTTATTCTCATAAACACTTAGCCTATCAGCAGACATTCATATCTCAGCCTGTACTGAGGCCACTCCTAAATATGACAATATTAAATCTACACTCTCACATACCCCCATTTCCTTAGAATCCTTATGCTTACTGTTACATCCACAGTAACTACTACTTCCACATTACCTCATACTGTCTACACTATATTTTGTGTTCATAATTGAAGGTAGGGCAGCGAGTTCGTGCACTGGGAAGGGAGGAATATAATAAGAATAACACCACAGGAACATCATATAACAGTGAGAAGGAGCCTGCAGTATATGTGGAAAAAGTGTGTTTACAACTACATCTACTATCTTTGGGTTTCAGTGAAGTGTACCAATTTATTTTTAATAAAAATATTCTCGAAGATATGTCAAATATTCCTCTTCTTCTTTCAACAAACCAGCCATATCCCACATTAAATTAGGATTACACCATGAAGGATGGTATCTAGTACACCTCCTACCCCTCCCAGAGATAATCTGCACACCCCTGGGGGTACACACACCAGCTTGAGAACTACTGGTATGGACCAAAGTATGTATAAAGTAGTTGAACACAAATTTTCATAAGAACAGCCACTTCTCAAGCCTCTTTTCTTACACTGCCTATCTATAATTTCATAAGCTTGCCTCTACTCCTAATAATTCCTGACGACCCTGTTTTATGAAAAATTAACTTTGCAACAATTTCACTTACCCTGACTGAAGCCCTTCTCTGTCTCAACATCTACCTGCTGGTTTATTCCTTCATGTTTTATGTTTGTTTTTTGTCTCTTATTTTTTCTGTATTGTAATCTGCTGAGCTTCTTTTTCAACTTGGACTCTTTTTTTCTTGCTGCAGGGTCCCACACCTTTTTTCTATTACCTTAAAAGATATAGCATTGTATACAATATTAAACATTATATGACTTCAAAATTTAACTAATTTTTAAATTTTAATTTGATAAGATTTATAAGCTATTCTAAATTGAGGGTAATACTTTATATGCCAAATTTAGTTGTAATGCAGTACTTATTAATATAATTTATGGGGAAGTAGTAAATCAGTAAGGATCATCTCGAGCCTGGTGAATAGGAAGCAATAAGGTTTGTTTCAAAGTGGAGGGTAACTCTAATTTCCTGGATGAAGAGCCATTTAGTAGTATTAAGGCACCTCCCTTAAAGAACAGTACTAATAAAATCAACAATGCAGTCTGCATGGAAAGTTATGATGCCAATGAAAAAAACATTTATGATTATGTAAACTAAGCAATATAATGCTTACCAGTGAAATTAATACTTAGTTAATTCCCTTTGTGCTTCAGGCAATCCTCAAACCTTCAAGAAATATTGCCAGATTAAATCTGAAGGGTTGTAGGTGAAAATGAAGCCCAGATATCTTTAATTAACAGCTGCGTCTAGCTTTGGGACGTTTCATTTGTGACTACAAATGTTTTACTGGGTTTAGGTCTGAGCTATCACCTGGAGAGTCACTGACATAGGGCATTTCACAATCACTTTTTGACACATTTGGCAGTGTGACAAAGAGCATCGTCTTGTGTAAATAGTTACGCTAAGGCTTTCTCAAGGTAATTGCCTAACTAATGGATTAAAAAGCACCAAATAATTATATTTAATCGTATTTTTGGAAACCTCCTGAAAGATCAACACCTGAACAACAAGACTTACTGTTGGGTATGTGTATTTCAATGTACATACCAACAAAATCATGGTCCCAGACCAGGCTTCCTGATGGATCAAGGACTGGCAAACCATGCCATTACTTTAAGACGAATTACTAATTCCTCAACACAATAATAGGTGAAACATTCCCACGCCATGAGGGATGGAAGGTGTTTCAGTCTTGGCAGTGTACTCTGGGAGGTAAGTCAGAATCAGGTGCCTGGTACACCCTTCCTCTACTACTAGTCTCTGTAAAGGTTGATTCACCTGGCCACAAAATGTCCCTCTATTCCTCCAAACTTCATTTACTGTATTTCTTGCAAAATTTTACTCTCTTCTGCTTTTGCTTAACTGTGAGAAACAGTTTACTGTGGGCATGAAGACTTTCAAATCCCAAATCATGTAGTGTCTGATGAAGACATCCAAGGGACATGATCTGACAACTGTGAATCGTTGGCCTTCACTTCCAGAGTCCTTGGGGAGGTTAATTTAACCCTTTCACTGCCGAGATCCATGCTCACAAACTTGCTCTCAGTGTCGAAAAAAAAAAAACTTTTGAAATGATAGAGAATCTTTTTCTGATGATAATGACACCAAAAGTATGAAATTTGATGGAAAACTTACTCCTTTTGTTCTATCGATTGAGTACAAAAACTGCCCATTTACCGATTTCAAATACCCAATAGTGATCAGAAATTGGTAATTTGGCCAATTACATACACAATTCAAGGGAGGCCAATTTCAAAACAGGGTCCAGAATTAACAATGCAAACATTCATAGCACTAAAATAACATTTTCTCTATTCATTAGTCATGTCTCCAGGCCCCTCTTACATTACATTTGCTTTCCATTTTGAATTTTTATTCACACACAAAAACAGAAGATTTACTGTTATACAGACTACTGCATTATTGTAAAAATGGTATAAATAATATCAGGGCATTTGTGAAAGCATATTAGACCCACCAGTTGACATGTATTGGACACGTAATGTGATCTGTTTACTCTTGAACACTGACAAAAATCAAACATTTCCGCTAATTTGAGCTCAATTTCAAGGTACTTTTAGTCCGTAAACCATTCAAAGTCATCTCTAGTTCTGTAACATCTTCCATTCTATCAAATGAGACCAAGAAAGCAAAATTACAACAATAAATACCAAACAAAAATACACTGCAAAGTCAGTTTTAAACAAAGAACACAGTTTTTTTTTCTCATTATGCACTGCATGCTGAAGGATTCTTTTTATACTGTGCACATTGACCACTCAGACCCATTCTTTCATATGTAGGCCTACCAGCTTTTTCCTGCAAGACTGGAAGTCGCTAGAATTTTGGCGTACTATTACAGGATCAACACTCGCTTGAAAGCCATAATATTATGGGACCAACAGTGAAAGGGTTAAGCCTACCAGTCCTGGCAAGAGGGACTGAAACATGGTCTGTCCCTGGTCACAAAAACATCTGATATGATGTATCGAATGCAATATCAGTCCTGTTTGATCAGAAATGTGTATCTTGGTCACTTGTGCAAGGCAATCACAACCAAAATATATTATTTTACTATTATCACACTGGCCGATTCCCACCAAGGCAGGGTGGGCCGAAAAAGAAAAACTTTCACCATTATTCACTCCATCACTGTCTTGCCAGAAGGGTGCTTTACACTACAGTTTTTAAACTGCAACATTAACACCCCTCCTTCAGAGTGCAGGCACTGTACTTCCCATCTCCAGGACTCAAGTCCAGCCTGCCGGTTTCCCTGAACCCCTTCATAAATGTTACTTTGTTCACACTCCAACAGCACGTCAAGTATTAAAAACCATTTGTCTCCATTCACTCCTATCAAACACGCTCACGCATGCCTGCTGGAAGTCCAAGCCCCTCGCACACAAAACCTCCTTTACCCCCTCCCTCCAACCTTCCCTAGGCCGACCCCTACCCCGCCTTCCTTCCACTACAGACTGATACACTCTTGAAGTCACTCTGTTTCGCTCCATTCTCTCTACATGTCCGAACCACCTCAACAACCCTTCCTCAGCCCTCTGGACAACAGTTTTGGTAATCCCGCACCTCCTCCTAACTTCCAAACTACGAATTCTCTGCATTATATTCACACCACACATTGCCCTCAGTGTTCGCATCGCTATTGGAGTGTTCGCATCGCTATTGGGCCGTGCGGACGTGCTGCGCAGTAGCTCCTGATTGAGTTGGCATTTGCGCAGTGTTGACGTGTACTTGGCTCTGTGAAGACCTGTTTGCGCGCTCTCTAGAATTGAAGCAAGATGCCCTCCATCGAGCAACTTTACCAACAGCTTAAGGAAGAATTGAGGTTGGCGAATTTGGAAATTCGGCGATTGACCGAGGAGAACAAGAAGATTCGTAGTAGTCCTCCTGTTTTGAGTCCTCAGGTCAAGAAGGGAAACTGGTCAGTGGCTGGACAGCAGGGAAAGAAGTTGACGATCAAGAAGACGCAATGGAAAGTTATAAACGATGAGAAAAAGAGACAGCCGTGGAAACTGTTGTGGAAACATCCATTCATTCTCAGTGCTACCGACCCGACGAATGTGAGTTGACTACATGGGGAACTACGACCGACAGACAATAAGGAAGGTAATAATATTTGTTGTGTAGGGATACAAGTTGGTATATGGATAGGGCGTTCTGCTTGAAGGACAGAGTAGGAACAGAGAGTTTTGCTTTCCTGGGCTGGATGGAGGATATTGTTAGCCGTCTGGAATGACATCATGAAGGTAATGGGAGCAATCCTATTATCTGTCTCAGTGCTGGAGGCAACGAGTTGGCAGACGTAGGAGTGAGGACTGATTACATGGTAAAGGTCACAAAAAGAAATAATAAGAAGTAAGGGTGGGAACCCTCCTCATATGTGTATTTTGCCAAAGGAGGGGAGTTGGAAGTGTATGGTTGATTGCAGGGCAATTGGTGTCAATTGCTGGCGGACAAATACTGTAAGGAAAATGCGGAAACTGATTCTTGACAACTGGGACCTGTCTTCTATAGGCAAGAAATGACATGTTGCTAGGTGAAGGGGTTCACTTATCCTAGTGTGGGGGTGGTAGCAACTGGCCAACTGCAGGAGGGAGCATTAGGACTTTTAAACTAGGAATAGTTAGTGGGATGGGTTTGTGGCAGAAACATTGAAGTCCCAGTGTAGTAATATTTTACGAGTTCTAGGGAACTAGTAAGTAATAAGAACGAGATTTGAAATGAAAAGCCAGGGACCTTGGGTGGATAAGGACGGTAATAGTTTAAAAGAAAAATAAAATGAAGCAGAATGTGTAAAGAGAAAGGAGAAGTCTACAATGTTTATTATTCTAATTGCCGTAGTGCTAGGAAATAAGATTGACGAGTTGAGATTAGTTGCTAGTGTAAGGGAACATTGATGTATTGGCCTAACTGAGACGTGTTTATTTCAAAAAGTCGGGACAGCCTGCGGAATGTCAAATCAGGGTTTTATAAATTGTTCCAAGAACATAGAAGTATTTGGGAGGGGGGTGGGGTGGCATTTGTATTGTCCGAGATCGCTTGACTGTTTGCATAAAAAAGGGGTATGTAAGTCTGAAGTAACACATACAAGTCTGTTTTGGATATGATTTTTCAGAGGGGGCATGAAAACCTGATTTTAGGAGTGATATACCCGTCCCGCAAACTTAGATAGGGACCATGGGAAACTGACTATGGGAGGAAATTGCTAAGGCCACAACACGAATAATGTAGTAATTCGAGGAGACTTTAACTTTGTCATGTTGATTGGAATTTTCTTGAACTGTGAATTAGAATCGTACGACTTCATAGAAGTATTTTCAGGATTGTTTTTTTTGAAGCATTTTGTGACATAACCTACAAGGAAATAACCTGCTGTGACTTAGTTATGGCAAACAATGAATCCCTTGTTAATAATTTAGAAAATTCAGAGGAACTGGGTGCTAGCGACCACAAATCAATTTACATTTAGCATTGAATGGAAGTACGATAGTAGCGATAAACTCAGAAACATCCCAGATTTTCGCTTAGCAGATTTACGATGCTTAGAGAACACTTATCATCTGTTGACTGGTATCGAAGGAGAGCCAATCAATATGAACATTTTCTGAACACTATACATGCTGCTCAAAAGAAGCGTTTATTCCCATATAAAGAAATTAGATCAAATAGAAATGACCCAAAAATGGATGAATAATA